GTCAACTCCACCCGTTTCTCTACGGTATAGATGCATACAGAGTATTACGACGCAGACGACAGCTCAGTACCTATACATGTACAGTAGGTTCTCTCAACATGGTGAACGCGTTGAAAATTCACATGCCGTGCAGGTACCGGGAGAGTACATACCCATCGAAAGGGTTGACGAGCACAGCAGCGACCCACACTGCACCGTGCATGTACCCGCGCATGTACATGTATGCTCGTACGAGACACACGGACGCACGCACACAGACGGACCGGCACTTCCACGTGGCAAGGATGATTCCCCCTCCCTTGCGGGTTTGCGACCCTCCTTCGTTGCAGGCTGATGATACAAGGGTACACCCTCTCGACGAATCCGACAATAGTCTACCTGTGTACCTCTGCTTCCAGCGATAACCAATCTTTTCTCCTCGCTCTACCCCGCCCGTGTGTCAGCTAGATGGGGAAAGACGTCAGAGGATCGTAATCCCCCCCTTCTCCTTTCAAAAAGGTGTTAAAGATGAGTGAGCGTAGTAGCAAGCAGTAGCGATCAAACCCTCACCGCTTCCTTTGAACCTCTCCTCTCTCTCTCTCTCTCTCTCTCTCTCTCCCTCCCCCTCTCTTTGTGCATGTGTGCGTGCGTGCGTGCGCGCGTGTGCGTGTGCGTGTGCGTGCGGAGTATTATATAATATATGCAAGGAACTACATATCATGTTATAGGGCAGTGATTTAGGGCAGCACGGAAAAGAAAAAGAAAAAAAAAAGTGTGTTGTGGGAAACTGACAAGCCGGAAAGAACGAAAAGGGAAGCAGCACTTCTTCCTCCGTTGGCACGGCTTATTGATCCGGTATTCAACCGAGTCTGGGTGAGAGAGAGGTATAACGCATGGCAATTTGTTTGAGTGCGACACACGTGGAACAGATACACGACGCAGGGCTGACATGACTCTCCGTCTCGTCTCGAGAGTCTCCCTGGTTGTTGTTTTCGGTCTTTTTCTTTTCTTTTCTTTTTCTTTCTCGGGGCGGGGGGGTCTTTCTTCCTCCCGCTTGGTTTTGATTTGCATGCTGAAAGAGGGAGGCAAAAATAGTTGGAAAGCGGAAAGCGTTGCAGGATGCATTTCATTGTGAAGGGGGTGGGGTACCTTCAAGGGCTGGAACTTGACCATTGATGACCACGACTGCTACCGCTACTAATAGTACTAAGATATTATTATTAGTATATAAATATTACTACAAACGACATGGAGTTGTGAGGTGGCGGGCTGTTACGAGGACTCTGTTCAACCCTACTACCACTAAGGGATAGGGACATCACCACTGGTACAGGACATGGTATTTGATATCAGTACTCGTAGATGCACAGTCGATGGTCGTAGCTCCAGCCATCCAACGTACCAGTATATATGCATCATTACCATGTACGAGTAGAAGGGATGCAAAGCTGCATTGCTTCATCTCGTCACCGTGACGGGAGGAGGAGAGCAGAGAGTCCAGATCTGTGATACTGCCGCAACAGCAGCAGCAGCAGCAGCAGCAGCAGCAGCAGAGCACCCACACAATATGTACGAGTAAATGTAAAACACTGCATGGCTGATGATACCATCAACGGTATACGACTACATGTACGTACCTGTTATGCTGTTAGACCGACCGGGCCAAGTTGGACACCAACTGCCAACCCATTACTCAGAGTCAGACAAGGGTGTGGAGATGTGCCACGTGGGATGTGAGGGAGGAGGGAAAAAAAAAAGGAAAAACAAAAAGGCCACGCGCTTCTCCTACCAACCAGGGCAGGGGTCGTTGCATATTATCAGACGAGACACATTCTGCAGACTGCAGACTGCAGCAGGACCTCTCTCAGATCACGTTTCGAGAAGCCCAAAAAAAAAAAAGTCATGATACGTCTTGAGTTGAGAGAAGCGAAAGTAAAAGAAGAAGAAAAAAGAGGCAGGGTGTTGCACAACACATCTTTTCCTATGCCCTCTACTCTGTAACTCGTACTCGTACACACTTGATTGCCAAAACGAGGGGTGGATGATACCCATACGAGCTCTCTCTCTCTCTCTCTCTCTCTCTCTCTCTCTTTCTTTCTCTTTTCTTTTCTTTTTTTTTTTGACCATCAAGGCGTGTCTTTCCAGCCCCCCCCCCCCCTTTCTCTCCTGCAACCAAAATCTCTCACTCCACACGCTACGACCATCGCATAAACGACTAACAAGACTCTCGTAACGCTCACCCCCATGTTCTTCCGACGAGAAAAGAAGGGAGAGGGGAAGAGGGGACCGGTTTGAAGATGATTTCGCAACAGTGACTCTTTCTGTGCGTCCTACATTGGCATTGGCCAAGATGGTGGCTGTGCGTCGTTGTTCCATGTACCACGTAAATTAACTAGTCTCCCTTTCCTAGAGAACAGACCTTCTCTTTCCTTCTATTGATCCTTCTAGACCTCTTTTTATTTAGCTACACATCATATCGTCGTACTCTTGTCATACTGAGTACGAGTACGAGTAACACTTTTGTTTTTCTTTTTTTTTTCTTTTCTTCTTCCCGTTCTATATGATGATGGGGAAGGGGGGAGGGGGGGACATGAAAAGGCTGACGCAAATCTAAGCCATGCGTCGTCGGGTCTTGGCTTGAGCTTCAATCTCAGTAGTACGAGGTGTTAGGGCTATTTTAACCTCTTATTACTTTATATTCTTATCAGTCGTCTCAGCCCAGAGAGGCCTGGTGATGATTCAGATACCTTCGATTGTCAATCAACCGCGCGGACCACATGGTTCGACTCTTTTCTTTTTCTTTCTTTTTCTTGGTTTTTTTTTTTTTTGGTCTCTTTTTCCTATCTTCTTCTCCTGAAAGAGTCCACCGCACTACTTGTCGACTATCGTCATGACCCTATCCATCTGTTATATGATAGTCACTCCAAAAATAACCACCATCGTTACTAGTTGGGCTACGAAGATGGTCTGCACCGCACGGACAGTTTTCAGTTGTAGTCGTCGTAATACGTATCAACACTGCCAACCGATACGGCACTACCAAGAATCCGAGACACGCATCGACGGCCAAAAGAAAAAGAAAAAATTTGAAAAAAAAAAAAAAAAAAAAAAAAAAAAAAGCTAGACCGTACTTTGCAACAGCTCCATACACGAATTGCGCGCCCCGACCAGACTAAACAGATAACATACCTTACCCGCCGCATGTCATGCCACATGGCAAACGACAGGCACAGTCCCGGATACATATGTACGATGCGTACGTCTCTATGCTGTATCATCAATCGCCCCATATAATACGTCGTAATGCCCAAAACTTGACGGTGTGACAGCCCAAATGTCGTGTCTAGTCTTATGGGAGATTATGTGCATATCCATAATCCATACCGTACCATACCATACCCCTCCCCCCCCCCCATGACGGAAGAAGAAGGAGGAAATACTGACGAGTCTCTCAAGAGTCAAAACACGCATGGGAACGGTTATGCACTCCTCCTCCACGAAACACGGCCCTTCACTATGATCCATCTCTTGACCTTCTTTTCTCCTTCTTTTCTCCTTTTTTTCTTCTCTAACTTTGTACATGTGCCCGTCTCATATAAAGTCCCTTAACCCCAACCAACCCAACCCAACCCAACCCAACCCAACCCCCCCCGCATGTTGGAAGTCGGTCAACTCTTACATATGGAAGAAGGCGGAGAATACCACATCAATCTTGTTCCTTCTTTCAATCGATGAAAAGAAGAAGAAACTCGTAATCAGGCTGTGATACTATGTCAATGTTTGTCAAGTGTCAATAAAGCACAAGCCAAATAGGGTCTCATTTTAGGCAAATTCCAAGGTGGTGGAGGGGGGGGGGGGGGCAATACATGTCAAAAACTGTCAGATAGGAGGCCAACGTTCTATCATGTGTACATTACGAGAGCATCTCACATTGTGAGCAGTAGTAAAAAGTGATACTACCGTAAATTACAGCCGAGGGGAGGAAACAAAGCACGGACAGCACTTTGACGTCTTGTTCAAATTAATGCCATGTGCAGGAAAAGAAAGCAGAAGAAGAAGACGACAGGTCGGATTTTGGGGGGGGGGGTTTTCCTTGGATTCTGACAAAAAAAAATAACCACCCCACCCCACACACCCCCCCCCTCCAAAGATCCACTGGGGGATATCACCCAACTGACGTTTTGAGATGCATGAGACACGTGCGGTGAGAACATGTGGTTGGCATGGGCGGGGGACATGGGACATGGAAGGGGGGGGGAGGGGAGGGGAGTGGGAGGATATGACAGCGGTACGCGCGCGGGACCGCTCATCATCATCACACATCAGCATGGGGGATGGGGATCTCATCCATGTCAAAATAACGGCGTAGCAAATCATTTCGGACTCTTACCAACGCCGCCATTTCTCTCTGTTTGGTCAATGACAGTCGATGGATTTTCTTTTCTAGCGCATGCATACATGTCGTACGTTCAGGACCATTGACTCGTCCTGATTGTAGTACGATCAATCCACGTCTGTGTACTCATATGCCCTCACCGACCTTCTCACCATCGTCACATACCCTATACATGCCTCGCGAAAATCCATGATACTCTGCTGCCCGTACGAGTAGTACCGTCACTGTGATATTGCACTCTGCTGTACTCTGCTGTACTTTGCATGGTCGTTCCGGTAGATGGAAACGGAGCATCATAGCTGGAGAAGCAGTGGTGTGATCTGTATTGTAGAGAGAGATGGAATAGTAGAAACAACAAACGCCATCGCTATCCCGTCTTCAACCTCATCGCATCCTTCCCCCTCTTCTCTTGACTAGTAGTCAGGAACTTATTTTCTCTTCTTGTTTTTACAGCCATGTGTGTTTTTTCTCGTCCCATGATGACGCCTCGAGATCGAGAGAAGGGCAGAAAAGAATAATGGTAAAAAAAATAAAATCTTACAACTTATACACACAAAAAAAGGGGTTTTAAAAATAAAAAAAATAAAGAAAATAAAGTCAGATACCCACCGACCCCGAAACAGATTCATATCGACGCCGGCGCAGCATCCTTCCTCCACCCTTTGTACCCCATATTCGCCTCGACAGCCTTCCAGATCTGCTCGACCACTTCCTTGTCTCTGAAGCGGGAAGCGTCGTGACCCTCTCCCCTCCAACGGTCCACGCCAGTCGAGAGCACCCTGTGACCCCACGCCCGGACGTTGTCGGGCGCCTGGTCGCCCCTCCACCCGACGTAGATGCCCAGGACGTGCTTGAACAGCTCGTTTGGGTTGCTCCACTTGTAGTTCTTGAACTGCCACGTCTGGCCCGTGGTGAAGACCGCCACCACCCGGTTCCAATACTCGGGCTTGAACTGTTCCGGGCCCTCGACCAAGATGAAGCGCATCGGCCGCGAAGGGTCTATCCCGGGCATGTTTCGCTGGACGTGCAGCATGCTCGCCGTCGAGGACGACCCCGTGTCCGCCGGCACGAACCGGCCTTCCTGCAGCAGAGAACGGGCGTTGGACAGGCGCACCAGGGCTGACGCCGACGGCGACAGCAGGATGATCGGGTCGGGTCTCTTAGACGGGGCCCGCTGGTTGAGCGACATGCTCTGCGGGATCCCTGCTTTCGCGCCGGTGCCGTTACCGCTGCCGCTGCCGTGCGTCTGCTGTGCCTTCTTGGAGAAGAAGGGTAGTGCCAGCTTGCGTACATGTGAGAAGTCCTAAGAAGAAAAACAGACGTCAGTCCAGGCAGGAGAACGTGACCAGAAAGAGAGAAAAAACACACTGTTGGCCTGACACCCCTGAGAACCGTGTTGCGGTCTCCCATCTTACGCTCACCGCTGTATACGCTGGCCAGCCTGGGGTCCATCGTGCCTTTTCCCGATCTAGCCTGGGCGCCCGTAGTCTTCGTCGCGGCCGTAGCCGACGACTTGCTTGGCTCTGCCGCCGACGTCGCCGCCGCGGCGGCGCCCCCCTTACCAGCGGCGCCCCCCTCCTCGGCCGCCGGCCTGATGTACTCGCTCTCCTCACTAGCGCCCTCGAGCCAGGTTATGAGGTCGAGGCGCTCGATGAAGCCCAGGTTCTGCACGGCTGCGCCCGCCGCACCGAGCGACTCGTTGAGCGCCGTCGCTGCTGCGTTGTACTCGGGGATGGCGCGCTCGCGGTTCAGCCATGCGAAGTATATCGAACGCAGGTCGATCGACTGGTCGTTTGACATGAAGCGCGTCGATGTCGTCACGGGAAGGGACACCTTGCTCTCCGGAAAGCTCAGGTGCGTCGCCTGCGCGAGGTCCACCTCGCTGCTTGCCGACGGGTCATCCGACGCGCTCGGCACAATGGGCTTGCCTGCTGCGATGGACTGCCGTAGCAGCATCAGGGCGTCGTTGTCGGCCATTGTTGTCTCTATCCTTGTTTCTGTGCCTATGCCGCGTTGCGTTCCAGGAGTCAATGACCGATGTCCCGCCAGATATCGTTGACGCTGTCGTCGCGCGCGCTCGCCCGAGAGAGGGAGGGAATCGAAGGCCAAGGTCCAGGTCACTGGATTTCAGTCGTAGTGAGCCTGCACGCGCGTCGTTGGATATGGAATCAAATTGATGACCTGTCCGCCGTTCTGCCGTCTGTTTGTTGCCCGTCTTCTCTTCCCAAGCTGCTTTGTCGGAGCTCGTTGTTGGCCTTCGAGCTTTCAGGAATCCTGGGCTGAGGTTGAAATTTTGTGGAGCCGCGACAGCACGTGACACATTTGAACATGATGCTAGAGCGAAGAAGACAGATGCCTTCAAGGTCCTCGGTCGTAATCGTGAAAGAATATATAGAGCTCTTCTCGTTATAGTTCTCGCCTACACTAGTGTATATATACAATGAAAGACCCGTGTATGATTTTGTGTATATCGAGTCCAAACACCTTCTCTATGCTGCCGTCTTCGGTCTCTGAGACTAATGATACCAATGTTGATATGACAACCGTTCAACGCCGAAACGAACCAAGGAAAAAAAAAACTGACAAGCAAACCAAGAAAACCCCGCAAAGAGGAAAGCGATGACCTTGATTCTTCGCTTAGATTCCAAAGAGCAGTTTCAAACGCTCATAGGTGTAGAAGCTCACGGCTCCCATGGGAATCACCTTGGCGTATCCGATAGTCAGTCCGACAAAGAAACCCCGGAAGCCCTTCTCACGGAAGATCCTGCCGGCCGTCTCGCCAAGACCCAGACGGTGGCCATCGCCCACGACACCGCCGACCTGCATGCGCCGCCTAATGACCTCGAGAGGGTACGATGCCGTCTGGGAGACGAGCCCCGAGACGCCGCCGGCAAACAGCTCGGCCCAGTACCGGAGGGGTGCCGCCTTGCCGCTAGGGTGATGGGACTGACCGTCCCACGTTGTGAGGGTCGTATGTGCCGCGATGGAGGGGTGGCGAAGTAAGTCGCTGACCGTGTCGTGGGTCAGGAACGAGATGCCCGCGTACGGGAGCATTCCCAGGAGCGTGGGGCCGAAGCCGCGGTAGAAATTGACGAGGCCACTACGCGGCGCGGCGGCGGCGGCGGCAGCAGCAGCAGCATCGGCAGCCGCTGTCACAGAGCCAGCGCCATGTGCCGCAAGGTGCGGCGTTGCCGGTTTTTGTATGGGCTGCTCGTGATATATCTGGCGGAATATTGATGAAAGAGATGACCTCCCCTCGTGCTTGGTCTCGAAAGCGAGGCGCACACGTATCACCTCGAGGGGGTACGTGAAGAAGACGGACGTGACGCCCGCGAGGCTGCCACTGACCATGCGTCGTAGCGGTGTCTCGTGATTCTTTGTCGGTATGATCATAGCACGGATCTGCTCGTAGGCGAGGAACTTGATACCTGCGTACGGAAATATGCGGAGGAGCGTGGCCGAGTGGCCACGGTACAGGCCTCGGGGGCCGTCCTGGGCGTATATGTCCTTCATGGCCCTTACAACGCCGAACCAAGAGCCCGTGTATTTTGCGAATTGAGGATTGCTCGCTTGGAAGAGGATCTTGACTCGGTCGAGCGGAGCGACAACCGTCTTGGCCTGTTTTTTTTTTCCATCGACAGGTTATCATCAGCCAACGTACGCTTGCGACTAAGGCACCCGGAACTCCTGCATGTCCTTTATTTTGAATTTTTTTTTTCGTGTAACTTACTGCGCATCCAGCTAGTCCACCGGCAGTGCCTGACCTCCAGACATAGTCTAATGTGCGTGTTCGGTTGAATGATGATGACGATGCTGCCTTGGCATCCTGCTGCTGCTGTTGCTGCTGCTGTATCGTCGGCGCCGAGCGCTGCTTCTGGCCCGAGGTGCTATCATCCTCACGCGTCACCTCTGGCGTGGAAGAGCCATGGCTCATGTGGGCGGAGGACATTCGGTTCCTCTCAGCGTGGCGGCTGATTTCTGTAGTTCGGTTTCGTCGTGTGTTGGAGATGCGACTCTAGAGGATTATGCCGCGGATCATCGACCCCGGTGACTCGGGGGGTTTTTTTTTAGTGTCTCACGTGCGCGCCCGCCGGGAGGCGTCGGGTTCAGAAGACTAATAGAGATGGCACTGGTTTCTCTGGAGGAACAACGGCCAAGGAGGGGTTGGAGTTCCAATACGATACAAATCAAATAACGATGTGAAGGGGTAATTGTTTATTGGAACGGGAGAAGGAAAAATGTTCGTCGTGGTGGTGGTGGTGTCTAGGAGAATGTGGAGGCAGATGGATGGACGAGACGTCATGTTGCCCTTTTTCAAGGGTCGGACTCAGCGGGTGACGTCCACTGGAGATACTTGCTATAACCTAATATATGCTCCGTAAATACCGAATCCTTACTCGCAGGCACGAGGGAGAGGGCGCCACCGCGGGGGAGAACCCTGAAGGAATTGATGGAGGGAGGCGGGGGAAACGACTGGAGGAAGCCAGTGCTACTATATGGGAACCCACTCCGCTAGCCGAGGTTTGCCGAATCTGTCTCTCCCCATACGCCTTTTTGCATCTCTAGTATCTACACGTCTTGAAAAGAAGACGACAACTGCCTGAAACGGACCACTGGGAGCATGAAATGGTGGTGATCAACGTCGGTCCGGACCCGCCTACATCATGTATCCTATACCAGACCGACGATGCCAGCACCCTCGTCGTCGACATCCCACGATCCATTGAGGAGAGTCAGGTGCCCCCAGGACATGTACATTCGCCGGCCAGACGCCTGGTGTCCGTCCAGCCGCCGTCGGTGCCGTACGATACGCCGGAGCCCCGTACGCCCTCTGCACTCCAGTTCAACAAGTTGCCTGCTACCCAGGTAGCGGAATTGATGACGGCCGCAGCAGTCCAGAGCGCCCTGGCGGATCTGGGCTCGTCATATTCCGGGCCTCTCTGTCTCCCGCGCGTCGTCGGCAGCCGTGACTATCCGTCTCTACCCGCCGCTACTGACGGAGGTGGTGAACAACCACAGCCCTTCATGCCAGAGGGGGCAGTCGCTCTGCATGGTCCGCTAGAGCAGCTCAACCAACAGGTCCGCGATGAGGCACCCCGGTTCGATCTCGTGGTCCTCGACCCACCATGGCCCAACCGGTCTGCACGCCGCCGGAGAGGCACCGGCACAGACACGGGCGGGCCCGGCTACTCGACAGTGCGAGACCTCTCAGCCATGCGTCGCTTGCTGCTCGACCACGTGCCTGTGCCCTCGCACCTGAGGGGCAACGGCCTCGTCGCCGTCTGGATCACCAACAAGGCCAGCGTCCTCGACTTTGTCACAGCTCCCTCAACGGGACTGCTCGCCTCGTGGGAGCTCGAGCTTGTCACCGAGTGGACGTGGCTCAAAGTGACGACTAGAGGCGAGCCCGTGTATCCCGTCGACTCGGCCTGGCGGAAGCCGTGGGAGAAGCTGTTGATTGCTAAGCGTAGGGGTGCCCCTACGCCCGCGGGGCTCGGCCCTAGGACCATTGTTGCCGTCCCTGATGTGCATTCCCGAAAGCCCAACCTGCGGCACCTGTTTTCCCACGTCCTGCAACAGCGTGACCTTGTCGGCCTGGACGTCTTTGCCCGTAACCTGACGGCTGGGTGGTGGTGCTGGGGCGACGATGTTTTGCAGTTCCAGCAGGCCCATCATTGGAAAGTTGACGTGTAAATTGCGTCTCAACTGAAACAGAGAGCTGAAAAAGACAGCAAATATGAGACGATCCAGGACCATAACTGTGGCCATGCTGGGTGTGAATTGACTTGACAACTTGTTGTCAATGGGTAGAATACATGTATAAAATTCGTCTTTATAGAATTGGTAGTGATACAAGAACCGGACCCCCTTATCCCCCCCGGACATCAATCTTATGACGTCTTATCCTTGGTCTCGGGGGCTGCGGGCTCAGCTGCCGCTTCGACAGTGGCCTCCTCCTTAAGGCCGGCCTCGCCTTTGGCTTTGGTGACGATGCTCTTCCACTTGGGGTCTAGCTCGACATTGTTAGACCACGCGATCTCTCCCGAAAGCATCTTCTTGGCCAACTCGCGCAGCTCCTTCCTGTCTCTCGACTCGGGCTTGCTGCTTTCGAGCGGGATGTTGCCACGCTGGAAGTCCACGTTGGCCTGCTGGCGCTCCTCCATGAGCTCCTGGCGCATGTCCCACATCTCCTTGTTCCAAGGCCTCTTGTTGTCGGGCAGCTCGGGCCACTGGAAGGGCTTGGCCAGCTCGACCGTCATGATCTTCTTGGACTGGGGGCGGTACCAGGAGTTGGGCAGGCCAGCACGCTGCGCCAGCGGCAGCTCCTTGACGTACGACCGCACCTTGCGAACCTCGACGCCGTACAGGTTCCATAGGTAGTCTCGGAGGTCAAACTTGGTCCATCGTAGAGGCACCTGGAAGCAGGCTTCATTCGGCGGGAGGTGCTCTTTGCGGAGGAAGGTGATGACGTGGTCGGGTCTGCAGGTGAGAGAGAGCACGCGCGTGTCAGTCCATCAAGCCATATACCAAAGGGGGGGGGGGGGGRGGAAAAGCCACAAAGGGAAGCAAACAAAGAAGCCAAGAGTAAGATGAGACACCTACAGGAAGACTTGTTTCCGTCCGAGCTTGAAGCCTGGTAGTTGTCGCGCGGCCGCCTTTGCTACTTCGGCCATTGTTGCAAGTTTTGGGATCCTGTGACGGTTGTCTTGTCGTTGCGAAACGGAAGATTTGGATTCGAGATGGCGAAGATCCAAAAGGACAAAAGTGCGGGCTGATTGGTCGAGGCGGAAGACTAGAAATTCCTCGCGCCGAAAAAGGGACTGGAGGGTCCAGGGCGCGTTGGCTGCTCTTTCCCGCCAATCCCCCATAGCATGAATGGCGCTAGTCTACAATGGTCCACAGTTTGCCCTTGTCCCTTGTGCCTTGTGCCTTGAATGAAGATCAAAAAGAGGCTGGGCAGTAAGGTGGTGAGGTGAGGGTAAGCTCTTTGTTCTATTGTCCCCCCCACTCACCATCGTAGCGGTTCGATGGAATCGTACCGGCCTTTCTTGCCTGTACGTTTCTTGCGTTGTGTCACCGGGAGAAGTTCAAGAGGGGGGGGGGGTTCATCACACCTCTTCTATATTACAGCGCACCCCCACCGCCCTATATTCTTCTTGCCTCTCACTACACTACCCACCCATCGGCGTCACTTCTCTCACACTAAGGTCCCTTGTCCCGCGCGGACAAAGGATCAAGGATAAGGAGACAGAGAGAGCGGAAGATGGCTTTTGCAGCACAGCGCCTCTTGGCGTGGGCTGGCACCATCCGGAACCTCTTTATAAAAGATGGTGAACCATCCCGGTCAAGCAGTCCTCTACACGACCATACACCCCACTCGGACCGGACGCCTCAAAATCAGACACCTCATTATATTCTTTCGTGGTACTCTGGCGACGACGCACTGACGAATGACGTCATGGAACGCCAGAACGATGGATATGACAAGGACTGGGATATAGATTCAGCTCTCACTCTGAGGGAGAGAATGGAGAAGGCCAAGGAGCTGTACCCGGGATCCAAGGACTGGGCCCATGATGAGGCGCGACTGTTTGAGATTCTCTATCTCAGGCAGGATCTTCCCATGCTCCCCTCGCACTGGAACATTGACTTCCGCGGCTTCCCCATCCCGGAGAACATATTTGCCACGTCTGATGAATTCGCACCTATCGTCTATGCGCACTCGACAGGTGGCTCGAGGGAGTTTTCCGGTGAGTTTTGACTATTACCAGGCCGGGATTTATTCTTTTTGCTGTACGTATTAGCTGACATCGTCATTGTTTTAACACAGCTACCGCTGCTATAACTCGTCTCATAGATCTCACCATGGCCGTGAGGACCGTCATGGAGGCTCCGTCACCCCACAAGTCCAGGGATAAGAAAGCTGTCCGCCGCAGCGCCGCACATCTCATCCACGACTCGCTAGATAGGTTCTGCGAATGGGCGGCTCGCGATGGCGGCTACGACAAGCTCAGCGTTGTCCCCAACCTTGCCGTCGAGGTTATTGAAGCCCCGGAGAAACAGCACGACCTCGTGCAGTCCATGACGGAGCGCATGCATGATCTCGTCAGGCTGCAGCAAGAATTCTACCGTGTTGACCGTGACCCGGATTTCTGGTCTACGTTCGAGCCGCACCTCACTGGTAGCAGCAGCAAGCGACCCGGGATTCGGCGGTCGAGTTTGAAGAGGAAGAGGGAGAGTAGCAAGAAGCCCGCTAGCATCAAGCGACAGCGTCTGGACTTTGAAGACGACACCACGCCGCCCAGCACCCCCGATCTGCTCTGGGACGACAACGACCAAGCGGTCGCCTCGGCCGGGTCTACGCCAGGACCGCGTCCGCAGTCACAGGCCTCGGGAAGTGCCAAACGCCAAAGAATTGGCACCTCCACCCCCAGCCCGGGCGTCGACAGGTCGGCTGATTTCCGCCTCCCCGACCCAGAGACGCCCAAAATCATAAAGTCGGAACAACCTGACGATGAGGCAGACGGTAAAAACAGCACCAAAACAACCATCAAGACGGAGTCGCCACCAACGCAGCCAAGGTCAGGCACCGCAACAACCTCCGCCACGGCCATCAACCCGCCACGCACACCGTCCTCCGAACCTGAGTACAGCCGCAGACCACCCGTCGTGTACGGCCTGTTCATCATCGGCACTTCCGTCTTCCTCTTGACTGCTGATTCCTCCAAGGGAGAAGACGGCTACATCAGCTTCCACGTCGATATCAACTTTTCCGACAACCACCAGAGTGTCTGGAACGCCCTGACGGTGGCCATTGCCGTGTGCTCGGCTCGCGACGAGCTCAGGTCGCGCCTGGACGACTTTGACCCAGCGTCTATCGAGTATGACAGTGATCCAGACGCATGAGAGATGAAAAAAAAAATGAATGAAATGATACCACCCCCCTGTTTTCTTTTTCTTTTCTCTTCTTGCTTGTTAGCCACTTTCCAGCTTTTTGATTTACTACTTGCTTAATGAAATGAAGCAGATGAAGACCAGGATAAGGACTTGTTGTATATACCTTTTGCACAGCAGCTAGAATTGTTTACACGCGGCGCACGGTATGAGGCGAGGGATACAAAGGTGACAGTTAGCCGGCCCCAACATTTGTACATGCATTATTCTATATTGCTTTTTTTCCCCTTCTCGCTGTTTCTCGAGAAAGAAGTAATATGATGAGATATCCTTTTTTTTGTGTCTTCTCTTTTTTTTGTTCTTCTCTTTATAACCGCCTTCCCCCCCAACGCCCGGCAAGAAAATGCTAACCTTCGTATACTCTTGGAACAAGGTGTCCCATATCTATAATAGTGTACAATCAACAGCATCCCCCCTTACACATACACACATCTTCAAATAAGCCCCCCTCCCCCCTTTCCCCCCCCCTAATCTCCTGTTCTAGAACGCACGTCCCTTTCGTGAGGGGATTTGAAAGAAAAAAAAAGGCGAAAGATATACAGACACCCCCAAGAATTGCACAGACGGATGTTTTCTCTTGTGAGAAAAGAAAAAAATACCCCCAAAAAATGAACCATGTGAGAAGGGAGAGAGAGAAAAGGAGATCATTGCATCTCTGGGCGATCATCTTCCTCGAGAGGGAACCACACACCCATCTGATGCAAGAGACGCTGGTAGAGGAAGAGCATGCACCCGCTCTGAATAAAAGTCCAGACACCACGGGGACCCACGCCACGGAACCAACCGCCCAAACCTTCGACGCGGTAGATTGCCGCCAGACCCTCTGAAACGGACGACGTCTGCAGAGAGGCGGCGCCGGGGGCGGGACGGTGCGTATTGGGCGACGAGGTGGATATGTGACGGCGCTGCGATGATGTGTCGGCGGCGGCGGAGGCGGCGGCATGTGGTGACGACGACGACGACGACGACGACGACGACGACGAGGCGGAAGCGGAAGCGGAAGCGGAAGAGTCGGAAGTGACGTTGACCTGGGTCTGGAGACGCGTCTTGACCACGTCGAGCGGACAGGTGATGACACCGGCCAGACCACCGGCTATGCCGCCGGTGAGGAGCTCGAGGGGCACGCCGATGTCGCGACTTTGCTTGTGGCGCCGCGCCCAGGCTTGCAGCTGCTCCCAAAACATGAACTGGAGGGCGGAGAATGGCAGGTCGCGGAACAGCGTGGCCTTGTAGCCGTGGAACAGGGCGGCGGTGCCCTCGGTGCGGACGATTGTGCGCGCGGCGTCGATGGTACCCCGGTAGTTGTATCCCGAGTGGAAGTGCGGGTTATTGTAGCGGCCCTGGAGCTGTAGGCGCGTCTTGAGGACTTCGGATGGCACGTAGACGATGGAGGCAGCAAGATCGCCAAGGAAGCCTGTGAGTTTTATATATACAAAAGTCAGTCTTCTTCTTCCTCTCCATCTATCCCTGCCCTCTATCCATTTGCAGAGATGAGGAAACTAGGGATGGGGGAGATATGACGGAGGCGAGAGGACAAGTTGACGCACCCGCTGATAGATATGCAAGGTGCTGCTGAAGCCCAACGTCTAACAGGTACCGCTTGCTCAACTCGTATGTACCGAAGAACATGACTGTGCCGGGAAAGGAACCCGCCAGGGCGGGGATCCATCCCCCGTACAGACCACGTCTTACCCCCTCCTGTCGCCATATCGTGTAGTACGACTGTCCCAGGGAGGTGTACCGGCTCGGAACGTGAGGGTCGCCCTGCTGCCGCGTCTTGACAGTGTCGAGGGAGTGCATGAGCAAATCACCCGTCGAGCCGCCTATACCACCCGCAATCATTGCCTAGCAACAACACTTCTTGTCAGCCAATTCAGTCCATCGGTCCGATCTAAGAAACTTGGTGTCCCCCCCCCCCCTCCCCCCCCCTTTTTGCGTAGACGTACGTGGTGATAAGGAGGTCTACCCTCGGATTCGACATCCTCGGCGGAACTCATGGTATGTGCGCCGCCGCGCGCGCAAGGTCTGCAGTGTCTTTGGAGCTCGAGATGTTGTCCGTGTGGGAGCGCTCCCGCATCTCGAGGTTATAGAAGAAAGCCCAGATATTTCGTCTTCTCCCAAGAGCAGCTCGGCCACCTGGAGGGGGGGGGGGGAGGTCGTATGTGGTTAGGTGGTTGATTTCAGATCATCCGCGTGTCGGTAAGGGATGTGAAATTGAGAAGAGAGAAAGAGGGACAAGAAAGTAATGAGGGTCGTATGCAGCTTGCCCAGGGTAATGGGACTGCTTTCTTTTCTGTGTGTTGTGTGGTGGTGTTGCTGTTTCTTTTGAGCCCCAGAGTGTCGTCTGTCAGGGAATTCGAGGATGCGGTGCACTGTAGTGGTTGTGGCGGTCCTCCCCGAGAGAGGGAGAAATTACCGAGCTCCGAACATTTTTTTTTTCTTCTCCCTCTCGCTCCTTCTCTGCTGCCTACCAATGCTTAACTAATTGTCACGCACCCAGACGTCATGGCCAAGGTGATATAGCAGCAGCAGCAGCAGTGGTTGCCATTATAGAATGATAATTATTATACAATTCCTAAGAAGAAAAAAAGGAAAGACAGATTTTTACAGATGCATGAAGATATACATTTTCCCTTTTCGCCTCTTTTTTTGTTTCCTCTCAACCGGAGAATTGCCATGTTGAAGGGCTGGCCGTCCCACCCCATCCATCCCTTCTTCACCTTGGCGGCCTGATAGCTCGCTCTCGCCAGTCGATCGCACCGAACTTTCTAAACGGAAAGACCATGTGTGTAATCTTGCCCGTAATCAGTCTCTTGGAGACCGGACCGTACGTGTTGCTATCCAGGCTCGACCCGAGCGGTCCGTCCCCCTCAACCCAAACATGACCCTCGGGCACCTGTATCGTGGCCGTGGGGAACGGCGCCCTCGTCTGGACAAGCTCGCCTTCCATGGCGATGATTCTCTTGACGGACACCACTTCCGGATGCACGGGGCTCCTTTGTGTGATCAGGGAGAGTTAGAGAGAGAGTTAGAGAGAGGGAGATGGAGAGAGAGAGAAAAGAGTCGTACTGCCGGCCATGATAGCAGGGGGTTGCTCTCCGAAAAGATGTGGGAATGACGGCTCTTCTTTTATATATATATAGATATAATAAAGAATGAAAATAACAATCCTTACCTTAGTGCCACGACCATGCCCCTTTCCAGATCATCCTGGGCTTTCCACTTCCAGTTGAGCGCCACGTCTCGCGTCAGGGTTGAGTCCTTCTCCGCGTTGAAGAGAGGATACATTGACGGACCGTTGACCGTCGTCAGCTCCGCGACGTGCAAGTTGAACCATGCAATCACCGGTACCCACGTCGCCAACCCGGCCAGGTTCCAGGCTACGGCCCGGGCAATCGATGCTCGACTGGCGGCGGCCATCTTCGCCGGTGATGTGTGAGTTGGCGGAGAGGATTTTCTGCTTTGCTTTGTTTTGCTTTGCTTCCACCAAGTATGAGTATGAATGATGCCGCGAATGAAGCCTTCAGATCATGCGCCAGTGCTCGGTTCCTATAATAGTATGAAAATAATGTGTGTGTGTGTGTGTGAGAGAGAGAGAGATAGAGAGAGAGAGTTGTACCCACTTTTATACATGTATTACAGACCATCATCGCACCACCACGGCAACCACCAAAGAGTCTTCCCATCATTGATGGTTATACAGCAAATATATCTTCATAGTATTCGTTCATTTTCTTCCTCCTCCTCCTCCTCCTCCTCTTCTTTCTGTATCGTTATTCTGCTACTGTTCTGAAACATTCTACACCCCGACATATTCAATTGAAAAGCAAGATAGTAGCAGCACATGATAAACGCATGACAAAAGAAAAAAAAATGATAACCACTTCGCCTCATCATGTCATGAATCAAGTTATGCATATCAGCTACTACTACTACCACAAACTAAACTCCCGGTTACCAGATCTCTTCCTTTATAATGATGCCCCATGAATCCTTTGTTTTCATCCTTTTTATTACGCCCCTGTCCAATGCTTGCCATCCCCAGACATAACGTAGGGAAACAAGCCCGATTCCCCTTCCTTCTTTCCTTGGGTCCGACCATCCAAATGACCAGGTTCCGGTTCCGCACACATTCTAGTCTTCTTCTCTCATCCCTCTTTTCTCGGCAACGTAAAAGAGGCTGGCATTTTATTTTGGAAGGTCTTTATTTTGTGTGTTTAGAGAAAAAAAAAAAGGACAGGAGTGGTTGCGAGTGTTATCGTTTTCAAGGAGCGTTGGGAATGTTGTCGTCGCTCTCGCTGACACTCTCGTCGCCACTGACCTCGGCATTCTCGCGCTCGCGCTTCTCCATGAGAGCCTGCAGCTCGGCATCGTCGCTCTCAGTAACGGCCTTGGGCTCCATCTTGACCGTCAGGCTGCCGCCAGCAGCTTCAATGTGCTTGCGAATGTCGACGATGGACTCCTCCAGGCGTGCGATACCCAGCGTCTTGTCCAGGCACGTGCTCGTCAGGACGTAGAGCGGCGGCGAAACGAGCTTGACCTTGACCTGCGTCTCGTCGTTGTTCTTCTCCTCGGCTGTGCGAAGGGCCGCCTTGACGGCGTCTATACCCTCGTAGCCGAAGCACGTAACCTCGATATCGGCACGAACCTTGGTGGGCTGGGGTGTCAGACGTTTGCTAATGTACAGCTTCAGCTCGTCGGCGACGGGCTGCGAAGGGAACTCGATCTCGTTCCAGATCTCGGGGTTGCTGGAGGCTTATGTCAGTCTCTTGTATCCCCATCTCTTGCCCTATCCTTCTTCGTATCCTTCTTCTCGCGGTGCCCGGAATTTACCTACGTGATGGAGAGTTTGAAAGCATCGATGGCGTGGCCGTACTTGCGGTTGAGCGGCCATCCTATCGTCTCGTAGAGCTGCTCGATGGGGATGTTGGTCTTCTCGGCGACGTGGCGCATGATGGAGTGCACCATCTTGCTCTTGTTGTAGCGCTCCTCGCACTTGATGATATCCTCGGGCGACACACGACGCTTCGACAGATCAATATATCCTGGAGTTTCCCAGTGTCAGCTTCTCTTCTCTTGCTAGTCACCCTCTCCTCGTCTCGTGGCGGGGAACCGTGCCCTTCTCCTTGTCCACACGAAGGACCACAACAACCTCATTCCGGCCGACACGGATGAGCTTCTGAATACTACGGATACGTCGGCGCGAAAGTTCCGACAGGAGAATCATGCCGTCAATGTTGTCGTATTCTAGGAGCTTGACGTAGGCACCCATCTCGGCAATCTGCATTCATTCATTCATTCATTCAACCCTTGTCAGCCTTATTGATTGTGTGCGTGCAAGGTCAAAAGACAGATGTCGCGACGAACCTGCTTGACATTGACCATGACAAAGCTATCCACCTCGGGATACTTCTCCTCGTAGAAGCGAGAGTTTGTTAACGACATGATAGCGGTGGTGTTGCTGTCGTCGTCAAGTGAGCGGAATCGGGAGAGTATTCGACGACGAGGGGCAGAGGAATGAGGTGGGGGTTAGAAACTTCGGTGGGTGGTTTCGAAAAGACCTTGTCGCGTGAGAGGTTCAGGAATGTATCCAGTCGGTATCGCGGCCGAATGTGAATATTCTGCTCGATCGAAGATAACCCGGTAAATGATATAAATGGCGGTCGCAGCCTAGTCCGTTTCTCGTAGGTCGGTCCCAAGTTGCTTCGAAAGATTGACTGGGGGAAAACCGGGTGAGGAGTCATAATTTTGACATTTTTTTTGGCTGGCCAGCGGGCGGCAGTGGGGAGTGGCGGGGTGTTGCCCAGGTGGCAGGCGGTAAGAAGTGGCAGAATCTCTTCATCCAATTCTTCTCTTGTTCTTTCGCCCAAGAAGCAGAGTCGAGCTGAATGCCGATTGCTGCTGGCCGCTTATCTCCACGTGACTTACAGGTAAACATGCAGAATCATGGCTTGCTTTCGCATCGCGACAACAAACCCCGGGCCCCACGTCCGACTTTAACGCTGGAAGAATCTCGAGGAGGTAGGCATCAAAAGACCATGGCGCCCAGTAAGTGCTATTTCTGCCCTCACCGTGTATTGGAGCACGGCAGAAGACTCCGGGACACCTTGCTGACGTATTCAATTCCCCGCCACAGCTACGCAATATGAGCTCTCACCGCCGCCTGGTGACGCCGTCTCAGCTCTGGCCTTCGCCCCGAGTGCGCCCACCAAGCTCCTAGTCTCGTCGTGGGACAAGAAGCTGTACAGTTACGATGTCTCGAACCCCGAGTCCAGCCTTGTGCGCACATACGATCACAGAGCCCCTATCCTGGATGTGTGTTTCGGCGACCACGATGGTGAAGCATTCACCGCTGGCATGGACTGGGTTGTCAACCGGTACCGTCTTTCCCCTCCCGTCTCCGACTATCCTGAACGGAGGGAATGTGCTGACATACCTTGACCAAGGATCGATCTCGAGACTGGTGAGATGACAGCTCTTAGCAAGCACGCTGCGCCGGTACGCTGTGTCACCTACAGCCGATCCCACGGTAAGTCGTGTGTGCCTGTAGGCAAACTACTCAGGTTACCGTGCTGATGTGGCGTCTGGTGGTGTAGGAATCCTAGTGTCGGCCTCGTGGGACTGCAGTCTCAACCTCCACAACCTACGCGACCCGTCGAACACGCCGATCCGAGTCGCGCTGCCCGGCAAACCCCACGCGCTGGCCTCCAGCCCGACAAAGGTGGTGGTGGCCATGACGGGCCGTGTTATCAACATCTACGACATGGACACAATCCGAAACCTATTCTCCAAGGGCGGCACCGACCTGAAGCCGTGGCAGCAGCGCGAGTCGTCGCTGCGCTACCTCACCCGCGCTGTCGCCTGTATGCCGACCGATGCGGGGTACGCCACCAGCAGCATCGAGGGCCGCGTCGCAGTCGAGTGGTTTGAAGACACTGCCGAGTCTCAGGCCCGCAAGTACGCCTTCAAGTGCCACCGTCAGGCGGCCCCGGACGGCGACGGCGACATTGTCTACCCCGTCAACGCGCTCGTCTTCCATCCCGTCCACGGCACTTTTGCCTCGGGCGGCGGCGACGGCACCGTCGCCCTGTGGGATGCAGAGGCCAAGAGGAGGTTAAAGCAGTACCAGAAGTTCCCCAACAGCGTCGCCGCTCTCGCCTTCTCCGGTGACGGCAAGTACCTCGCCGTTGGGGTCTGTCCCGGCTTCGAGACCGGCCAGGAGGACTACTCTGGTGCCGGGCAGACGGCTGTTCTGATCCGCGAACTTGGTGAGAACGAGGCAAAGGGAAAAGGTGCGAAATAAATCGTGTTTTTTGTTATGTAAATGAACAACACCCTAGTGCATGAATTCAAAAAGTGGCGTTTTGGCCGGGAAACAATTGAGGATCATTGCCTAATGTCAAAGAACCAAGAAAGGAACCGTCATACTTTTCTACCTCTTTATCTAGCGTAAAAGTAGAGCTAATGAGCGACATAAGGAGGAAGGGAATAAGAAGAAGGAAGGAGGAGGAGGAGGATGGAGATGAATTACCACATAATATAACTCCTACCTTTGATTTTTTAGAACTTGATTCTGAATCTGTGGGACTTTCTTATACTCACTAAATCCCCGTTTGAACAAGACTTCTTCACTTCCTTTGCGCAACCACAACATCCTTGTCGAGAACAATGTACAGAGTCGCATTCCATAACCTCCATTTCCAGCATAGCCCAACAATTACATATAGCCGAGTGCTCCTCTCACCTTGGAGGGACCATCGACGTTGCAGATACGGAGTCGGGGTGCCAGCTCGGAGGTCCCATGCCACTGGTGATTTGTTGAGTAAAATCGTGGCGAAGGTCTCTGATCACGGCGTTCAAGACATTCCTCTGACGGACAAACTCGGGGTCATCTTTCTGATACTTTTCCACAAGGGGCGGCGCCCAGTTACTCCAGACGTTCTGATGCGATTCAGGCACCACCATGCCAGCCGGGTGGTGCTTGAAGTAGAGCATGCAGCAGTAACAGGAGGGCTTGCTGCATCCTATGTAACGGTCGTTGTCGGCAAAGGCCAACCCGCTTTCGTAGAAGTGCTCCAGAACCTGGATCTCGGCGTGAACCTGCGGTCTGCAATCGGAGTATTGCTTCAGGAACCGCAGGAAGAAGGTGCGATTAGACTGATGGTCAAGTCGGAAGAGATGCTCCTTCACCTCGTCTTTCTTTGGGTCTCCCTTGCTGAACATCCTATTGAGGATGCTATCCAGCGTAGTATGGGCATCGCTGACGGGGGCCTGTACGTTAGGGCGCTTCGCAATCATGTGGACTTCGTACGTATCTAAGACGTGGGAAAATTCGTGCGAGTCTTGAATCAACTCTTCGATGCAGACAACGTGCTGAGCAAGGCGCCCGACGTAATGCTTCGCGTCGGCAAATGGGCTTCTCCAGCCAGGCTTGGATACGTGTTGCTGTCTTGCCCGTAGCCCCATCTCCTTGATGAGGGGAGAGTCCTTTGCTTCATGGGCGGACTTGCAGATCTGGATCTCATCCTTGTACGAGAAGGCACTGAGCCATCCGAGCAGCGCCCGATCTGATACTCAGGTGTAAGTGCAAAAGCATAAGTTGATTGCTCATATGAGCCATTGAAGAGAGGATATGCAGATAGGTATATGGTGTACCTTGTTCCGAATCTGCGAGGGTACCAGATATTTTTCCGATAGCTCGTTTCAGCAGCTTCCATTCCTTCTTGATCCGCGGCTTCGTGAGTTCCAGACACATAGCGTGGAACTCCTCCGTCTTCTTGTCCATATCCGTCGTAGGAGTCGTTGTCAGTCGGGCCAAGCACCGAAGTACTTGACGGAGGATGTCAACCGTCTTGTTCCTCGGCGCGTTCGACGCAACCCAGAACTTGTAGCATGCCTCGCTGTCCTCGAGGCCAACGGCTGTGCATGAGGCGCCCCCCTTGTCGAAGTCGCAGATGAAGGAAATGTTTCGGAGAAATCTTCGTCGACAGGCCTGCTCGTCGTTTCTGTCCGGTGGGTACTCCGTGTGGAGGCCGCGAGTTTGGGAGGCGACGCGGGAGAAGAATAGCACCTCGTAGAACCTCGCCAACAACCTCGCATAGGCATCCAGCCTAGGGGGGCCCTGCTTTTGCTGCCGCTGCGGTGCGACGAATTGCGCATATCTACGTGGACTATCTAGGATCTTGGCCGTGTCCATCTTGAGGAAGAGGCACTTGGAGAGAGCTATGTGGGAAACTGGCGTTGTTTAGATGAGTACAGAATGGTATGGCAGATCGGTAAATATAAGGGAATACAGCTCACCGGGTATTGCATATCGCCCCGGGGGAGAGGGGTCGACAGTTTCACGGACTAAATACATATATATATATATATACTTGTATCTGAAAATACTTGAGATGTCTTGGGCTGCTAAGCATCTCACAGACTCTGCCTGCCCAAACACCACCACCTTGTGGGAAGCTCCGCGGGGGATCTATGGGAAGACGACCAACACCATGTAACTGCTGCCCTATAGGATCACGAAAAGAGATTCCGAAGGAAGGAAGAGGGTGGGATACAATGAAGGGAAAGTATATCCAGCTGCATTGATGTATGTTTCTGACTGCGCTGAGGGCCTGTTAAAAACATTCACTTATATGCAGCCATGCACTTGTATGCAGCGCACCAAGTTTCGTCACTCAGTACCGCCAATGGAGTAACTACTTGTAGTAGGAGCCTGTAGCTTCCATCTCGGTGTGGACGATATCAGACAACCGGTCAGATACCAGGGACCAACCAAACGAGCACTGGTGATAACCCATTGACGATTTCTTTCAAGTGGTGAAGGTCTAATGTTGAAACTTCAATCTCGATAATTATACATGATGTAATAATACTGTGCATTCCCGTGAGGGGGACGAAATACACGCAATGAGAATGATGCTCCATTTCAATCATAGGTTACCCCCTCGATCTCTCGCTCGGTCGGTAAACCTGTTTTTCTTCCAATCGGCGTACGGAATCGTACTCGTGTGATGGGAGGACGACGACATTCCTACAGCTGCAAAACTCCTTGATTTTCCTTTGGGACTCGAGGGCAACATATGGATCACAGTTGATGCCGTCAATAGACTCACTATCCAACAACTCCAGACTGTACGCGGCATCCCCAACCAGGAAGTAGGTAACGTCATCATCGATGACGATCAAGGAGATGTGACCAGGCACATGGCCTGGTGTGTCGACAGCGAGTATCTTTTGGTCCTTGGTAACAGGGTAGCTGAAGGTCCATGGACCTATCGCAGGTCCTGTGGGCTGTAATATAGAGGGCGAGAAGTCTTCCGGCCACGCTGCCGGGTTTGCGCCTTCCAATGTCGCATATATTGGGCTCTGAAATGCGTCCCAGTGGCTTTGGCTGACGAAGATGTCGGTCATTCCGTGGACGTCGGGCAGACCACCAGCATGGTCGCCGTGTAGGTGAGACATGACAGCGGCTTTGATGTCGGTTTTGGGGTTGATGCCTTGTTCTCTGAGCTGAGAGCCAAGGCCCTGGCTCTCCTTGATGTCCACGGACACGCAATGGTGTCCAATCTGCCACCAGGGGTAGTATCCGGGGTGAACGCACCGCGGCGTTTCGCCCAGATCAAAGAGAAAGATTCCCTCTGAATGGGTCATTACAAAGGCAAAAATCGGGATGGGTTCTGTCCATCGCCTGTCAGAGAGAAACCGTAGACGGCGGACAAGAACATTTCCGGGAGGCTGGGTCATCTGGCTCGGACGGATCCTGATATTGCCCGTCTCGATGATGCGGATGCCGATCGGCATGACGACGGGTTCGTTCTCCGTCCGTTGGAGGAACTGATACTGTCGTGCCACGAGCGTGTTCCCAGGAAGATGAGGGGGTGGAAAGGTCTGAGATGAAAGAATATCTAGCGTTGTAGAAAAAAGCGAAGGTGGTGATGATGAAAGAAGTTGAAGCTTTCTGCTCATGCAGACAAAGACAAGATGGATCAACAGCTTCCACCGCGATACCTCCTTCTATTATTCGACATGAGAGACAAGGCGTTGGCTAGCAAGAACATCCCAGTCTCCGTACCTTCCATCCCGAGATTTTGAACTTTGGCCGGACATGTTCAACCTGATTGAGCCGGCAGGAAACAGACTGCCTCGAATCACCGTCTCGGCGACAGGGAGACAGATATCGAGGTTGGGTTTAAGCCGCGATGTGGACTCTGAAGGTGCATGCGATGAGGAAGGGGCCGCGGATAGGAACTGCATATGCGTCACAGTGGAGGCTTCACATATGTAGCAGACGTTGCATTGTGAATGAACGAAGCAGTCGTATCCGCTGACTGCACAAGTAGCTGTGCTCTCCTCGCGAAAGGACAATGCCCTCCGCGATTGACCCCAGAAATCTGCTGATAACGTAGAGACACAGTTGCATCCCATCACCGACTTGTGCTCTGGACTGTACGGCTCCCCTATCCTACATTCTTGCTAAGTATTTAACTGGGCTTGCTATGAAGATATGAAGACATCGTCTCTCACCTACGCTGGCGACAGAGTCAGGTCAAGTCGGTTCACAGTACAAGCTCTCTAGTACGTGCCTTATCATGCTTCTTGAATGTTTGTCCTCGTGAATAAGGGACAAAAGGGAATTATGATTCCTACTTGACTGCTGTCGTCCTGAATTCCTCCTGTGCCATGCACCGCCATGCCCAAATAGGGACAGTTCCTGCACCTTTTCCTATGTGCTCTTCTTTAGTTTGTCCAGAGCAAACCTGAATCCTAAATCAGCCTTGTTAGCACGCGACCGATCAAAACAGAGGCTCAATGTTTGACATACGCTACAAGTCCCACTCATATCTGTCCAAGGAATGGGCTGCGAGACGCTTCTACAGGAGGCGGGTATCTCTGTCGAGGATTACGTATATGGCCCGAGGGAGAACCGCTGGGTTGTGCCCCCCACCCACTCAGTGGCCTTGCAGTCTGACGAGGCGTGTCAGCCGAACCCTCTTCGGTATCCGACTCGATGTGTATGGCAGTGGTAGGATCGTTCCCAGCTTGTTTAGGGGTCTGTGGGCCAACGGTCCGGTCATGCCCGGTCTTTTTCGGAAGATCTTTTCCCCCAGACCGGATGGATCCCGGTGCAGATGAGGGCCCATCAACATGCAAGTCTCTGAGGTTACTAGCCAGCTCTCGCCGGGGAGAATTCCTCGGCCGGGAATGGTTGGCAGGAGTGCCAACCATACCAGGGTCGCTCGTGCTCATATCTGTCGACCTCGGCCTGCTTCTAGCCCCTGACGTATTTGTACTGGGCTTTCTGCCCGTCTTGACAGGCCGGCCAAGAAAATTGAGGTAATCGTTACTGCTGCTCTCAAGCGCAGGTTGATCAGGAGCGGGACTGATGTTTCTCAGGGATGGGTATCCGGGGGACTGATTGTTGGTATCGATGTTTCTTTTAGTTATTACTTCTTTCGTTTGGTATTTCCAGGCAGGCCACGTACCATGCTGATATCGTTGGAACGGCTAGGTGTAGGGCACCTCGGTGGCTGTTCAAAAGGTGGCTCTCGCTCGGCACGCACTGCCTGTGAATCCGGAGTGCAGCGGCGCGTCTCGGGGATCGCCTGGCGGTCGACTGGCAATGATACCACATCCCGTAACTTTGAAGATGATCGGGCCGACCCCGAGGTCTGGGAAGCAGGTGTATTGGGAGTAGGCGCCTTGGACGGGGAGCCCCTGGGAGTAGAAGACTCGCTGGGCTGGGAATCGTCTGACGTGGAGGACAAGTCACGGGTGTATTGTGAACTATCCTTCGAGCTCTCGTATATGTAGTCCAAGTCACTGGAGTCGTCCTTGCCGGCTGAGGCCGAAGTAGCGACTGTCCATGAGTATCCCGCACTGGCTTGGGCGGCCGTCTGGCTGTATGTATGGGCATCTGGGCTGACAGAGTCCAGCTGCACGGGGGTCAACCCTTGAGCCCCGAACATGGATGTAGGGCCGAATGGAAAGCCACGATGAACAGATGCACCCCTTGATATTGAATATGATAGACTTTGGGCTAGATGACGATTGAGATCCTTAGTAGCTGCTTCCGTAGCAGAGCTTAGCATCCTGTCAAAGAGCAGTGCCATCATCATAGGTGTGATGCGGGTCTCGCTGGCCTTATCAACGTTAGCCTCGGGACAAGCGCTAGAGAGAGCTTGCACCGTATTCATTATTCGGCGGTGACTTTCGATGACCAGTTGCTGCTCAAGTCTCGAGTCGTCCTCGGCCGCTTCGCTAGAGTCATGAAACACCCGCCTCCATTGGCCTATGTAAGAAGCGATGAGTGGCTTGAAAACCCTCATGGCCCACGTGTGAGTGTTTTCAAGTATGGCTTGAAATCTGATGACGTCTCCTCTGTTTTGCATGTCACCTTCCCAGATAGCCTTCATCACCTATATTTAGTTCAATGTCAGTCTGAGCCGTATGTACACAGCAGTAGCCTGCAGGTCTTGAATGTTCAACCTTGCGACGGTCAAGTCATAGGCGACTTACATAGCCGGTCTTCTCACTGGCCCATGCCAGGGGTGAATCTCTTGACTCACGGACACGCACTTTGAGGTCAGTCCCAAAGTATGTGATCCAAACCTTGACCTTTGATCCGACAGTTGTGACCACTGGAATCGGAGGAACCTGTGCATGGCGCGGCAGTTGAAGCTCGTATTTGGCCGTGATGCGATTCAGCCCAACGGCACATGCGCTGCCATTCGCTGCCTGAGAAGCCACCTGCTCCTCATCTTCGTTCTCCTTCTTATGCTCGACAATAAGCCAAGGGAAGCCCTTCAAGTTAGAATCCTCGGGGTTTTCTGGCATATCCCTGAACGGAGTAGGCCGGAGGCCTTTGCTTGCAAGTTGCCTCAGACAAGACCACGAAAAGGGCTCCCCGAGATTGTGATGTAGATGCCTGTTCCATTGTCTTGCCTTTGGCTCGGCTATCTTAGGAAGCATCACCTCCAAATGGTAAAGGGGCAGAAAGCAGGCGTAGTCAGGCTTGGGCAGTTTGTAGTAGTCGATCTCACGAGGCTCCGTCCTGAAAAAGGTCCACAACTCGTCCGCTTCTCTAAAACGAGATGAATGTCAGCTTCACTCACTACCCTGAGGGCCACTCGGAGAAGAGTTCAAAGTTGTCAATATACTTCGACATACGCTTTGAAGCCGTCGTAAAAATAATTACATCGTGAAACCCTGATGACTGTTGTTAGCTTCCTCTGAGTTACGTGCATTAAGCCCAGCTGGCTACTCACCTTCGACAGTCGTCTTTCGCGACGGATGTTCCACGCTCAAGTGGGTGGAAGAAGTGTGTCTCGAAAAAGTTCTGCCATCTTCTTTCTTTGTAGCTAGAGCCAGAAAGATAGGCAGCATTGTTAGCTGCATCGCAAACTGCTTCATGTGCTCTTTTCTCTTCCAGGCTGGCCGCCAAATCTTCCTCTTCGGGATCCAGCCAAGAGAAATCGAGCATGGCGCTGTGCAGAGTCCTGACATGCGGCGGAGATGCATGCTCTGAAGGATGGGACATGTCATGAATGGTTTCGTCGAAGAAGATACCCTTGGCCATGACCATGTCCCGATTGTAAGACCGCAGGTTCCAATCCATGGCCAACCTCGAGACGACAAAACAATGTCGACGCAGGCCTAGTTCAGTTTTTCGCGGAGGGGGCAGAGATGGATGATACGTGGTCAGATCGATACGGCTAGGAGGAGGCGCACATCATCACATAAGAGGTATCTGGACATGCGCTTTCCCCTCGCGTCTCTGACTTGAGGTCTCATGATGAAGGGGTCTTGAACTGTTGGCTCGGTCTCTGCAGATCCCCCTGCACTGGTAAAACCAACCGCATACCACTAGCATACAATCCCAGCCCCATATCTTTCGCCAACCTATAATATGGTGCTTTGAGACCATCCTAGCCCACACGAACCCTATGCTATTAATACGACGTGACGAAGGCAGGTGGATGCGCATGCCCGTGAGAACCCGGCCGACCAGCGTAACCATTCGTTGATCCTACGCTGAGATGCCCCAGCTTCATCGAGTGATATCATAGGTTGAGGAATCCTACAGATTGATTGCTTCCAGCCCTTTGCTCCGCCCCTCAACCTGACATCTCCCTGGAAGTTGTTACAAATCTGCCTTGCATGGTTCTTTGAGAACCAAACATCTTGTAGGCCGTGGGTCCAAGAACGAGGCATGTTGGCGGCTACAGCCACGTTATCCGCCTGAGATGGACCTACGTATGCAGTAATATGCACCATGGTTCGGGGATCTCGTGATTTCGGTCTCTCCTTACTGTTCTTCGCTTTTTCTGTAGTCTTTCTCTCGTTCTTATCGCCTGATCGTTTCTGCAGTCCAATCCCCAAGAACCTGAAGTTGGGCCTGTGTACGTGACATATGCATGCGCAGTTAGAACCGTCAGAGACCTGCATGTAATATTCATAGACAGCGATTCCCTTGCCCAGACTTAGCCTCCGTGTAAGTCAACATGTTCTGTGTAATACATGCGGTTTGTTTGGGGTGCGTGGAATGACCTCTACTGCATGGGCCCTGCGAGTGGCAAGTCTCATCAAAACCAGCGTCTTCCCTTGTATTTGGGCCATCATAGCTTCAACGTGTAAATGGTTGGTGAAGTTGAACTTGATTGATTTCATGAAAGCTTCATATCCCGTCATGTAATACAAGTATAGCGTAGAATCAAGAGCACAGTGGTGTCAGCTTGAGATTTAGCCCATGCTCCGGCTTGATGGTGATGATGCCCCTCGGTGCCGTCTTGGACTCGTCCATTGCCAGCTCCCAGGAAAAGGACCTGATCATGGCAGCCAGCAGACAGCGCATCTCGGCCTTGGCAAATCCTTGTCCGATACAGCTGCGCGGCCCGTGCGAGAAGGTCATGAAGTGGTAATTGCTGCTCATGCCTCCTGTCTGGTTTGGCTTCCCATTCGACTCCATCCAGCGCTCCGGGCGGAATTCTGTCGGGCTGGGCCCCCAAAATTCCGGAGATCGGTTGATCTGCCAGATGGAGATGGCCATCATAGTCCCCTTTGGTACGAATTGGTCGCCGAGCCTCGTATCGCAGATAGCCTCGCGGGCGGTCAACGGGACGGTGGGATAGAGCCGCAGTGTCTCGTGTATAACGCCATTCAGGTAGGGTAGTTGCTCCAGGAGGATGGCGAGATCACCCTGCGAACACTGGCCAGGATGTTCGGGGAGGTTTTCTGTCATCTCTTCGCGTAGCTTCGTCTGTAGGTCGGGGTGCTTGGCCAAAAGGTAGCAGGCCCAGGTCAAAGATGATGCGGTAGTTTCGTGCCTGCTAGTGCGTTAGGCCGGCCCATTGATCGGGGGAGGGTACTTCGGGTTCGGAAGAGCTCACCCGGCAGCGAGGAATGTCAAAAGCTGGTCTTTCAAGACTGCATCGGTAAAGTTACTCGACTTGATGAGCAGTGACAGAATGTCGTAGTGTTCGCCTCTTTCCTCCCCACTCTCCTTCTCCGTAGAGAGTTCCCGTCTCTTGTCCTGAACTAGCTGCGCACAGATGCTGTCCAGGGTGCCTGTGAGCTGTTCAAAGATCCTGTGCATCCTCCACGGCAGCAACCGCAAGAACGTGGGCCCGAAGACGAAGAAGAGGACGGCGTAGAGGATCTTCTCCCTTGTCGGCTCGAGAATGGCCTCATACGTCTTCTGCAGCGGATCGCTCGACTTCTCGGCGGCGTTGATGTTGCGTCCTAGGCATGCAACGCCCATGATGTCCAGCGTAATCTTGCTCGCCCAAGATGACAACTCGACGACCGAAGGGTCAGCATTATCAGTGTTGCGGTCTCCACCAGCGATCTCTTTCCTCAGAACCGTGGTCAACAACTCGGCCTTGTCCCACATCATGGGGTACAAGTTCCTAACATGGCGGAAGTTGAAGGCCGGTATCGAGTGCTTGCGAAGAAACTTGTGCTGTTCTCCTTCTGCAACGACGAGGCCCTCTCCCAGAACCCGACGCAGGAAAACGCGCGTCTTTCTGGGCTTGGTGAAGTCATAGCACCTATGAACAAGTATTTCCGGCAGAAGGGCGGGATCGGCGATCATAAGTTGGTCCCGAAAAGTATTCAGCGAGATCAGCGGCTGCCCAGGATACTTTCTGACCACGTCCGCAAAGAGGTCGCCTCCAGCGCCTTCCTTGACAGTCAACGAACGGCGACCAACGCTGACGACTTCCTATTATATGAGGAGATGGTGTCAACTTGGACATGGGAGAATTGGTGACAGAGCAGACCCGGAGCATGGCACGTACCCGTGGACCGGGGATATGGCGCAGTGGGCTCAGAAGGACAGGGTATATGACGGCCCAGAAGAACACACCCATGGCGTAGTTGGCCAAAAAGATGACTGCTGCCGAAGACAGATTATTCTGCGAGCCATAGTAGCTGGGTAGCAGCTTGATGGCAAGGGTTGACTGCAGAGTAGCAGCAAGCGTAAGGCCAGCCGGACTGAATACCCGGGATAAAGTCGCCATGATTAGCAGGGAAGATGAGGGTAGGTTGGTGGCTATCGGTAACGTGAATGTTGTGTGACTGACGATGTCACACACGACGGGTGGTGGAAGATCTTCAACAAGACTCACAGACCGTTTCAACGGCACGGCACCCTGCTAATCTTAAATATATTTTTGTCTCATCCTCCCCAGGTTACCGGTGCCTGGCCCTTTGGAACTCCGGGACTGTAGACCAGTAATACTCCCTCCACTGATGTTCAGGATGACGTATAGATTTGGGGTGCCCGCATGTCCTACGGAGTCGGGAGGACAACGCGACTGTGGTAAAAAGGGGCCGAGCGGCGTTGCTCGCATTCGGATAATAATACATGCTAATATGACAATTGCATTGCACACTTACAATCCTTGTCACATGCGAGTGTTGAGCCTACGAGTATTCTCTATTTGGTGAGATGTTAGACAGTCTACAGACCGTGCCGTGTTAGAGCAGACCCGGCGGGCGAAATGGGATCAATCAGAGACGATCTGTAGAGAATTGCGCCGGCATCCTTGGTAGAGGTAGCTCCGGGCTACGGACGATCCCCCTCATAATATCAGTACTGATATAGGCAAGCGGGCTCATTACATGGGTGCCTGTCATCCCCTCCCCATAACCGCGGTAGACTAACCACACTCGACACGTAATGATATATGATCTTCTCCTACGAATCTACTGGGGATAGTCGTGATTACTTCGAGCTATGATTCCCTGGACACACTTGGACATTAGAGGTGAGTGAACCCCGCAAAGCATCGTGCCGCTTTAGGTGGTAGAATCGGAATGGGGGAAGGGTTTGATGGACAGTGAGACTGAATCCCAGACCTCGGAAACTTCCAGATAAGTGGCCCTGGTTGGCCGTCTCTTGAAACTGGGCTTTTATCGATGCCATATTACATTGGCTGCTAGAGTCTAGTTCCTACCCACCCACATGCTAGCGATCCGAAAACAAAGGCCTGCATGGATCCCCCCCATGTTTAAAAAGGTCTAGCTTGCGAACCCACTGCTCGGAGGCATGAAGACGTTAGAAGGGCTTGGGTCATCTGAGTGCCTTCGAAGACGGAACTGATGCTTATCGCGCCCTGCCGCCCGAGTTGTGTGCTTTAGTTGAAGGATGGCTTCTTGCATGCTTGGTTCAGTTGTTATACCCTTTACATTCAAGAGTCGCATACATGACAGTACTTTGGAAAAATCGAGAAGACAACCGTCATATTTGGAATCTACCTGTTTCAACGAATTACTATGACAGATGCAGATTGCATGGATTCAGCATGACCCCAGGGTGGCATGCGACGTCTATCGCCTTACACTATATCAGTATCGAATCTGCTTTTCGAAACCTGGGAAATTCAAGGGTAAATCGAGCAGATATCTGTCTGTAGCGTAGCACTCTATGGCGGACGGAAGTGTGATTTGGCCGTTGATGAATTTACACGGATGTTGGACCCTGCCTGCGAACAGATATTGGGCCGACCTCTTCACATATTCCACCATATTCTCACCATATTCATCATCTAGATGTTTGGGATGAATTCTGAAACCCGGTGACGATAGATTCTGTTTTAATTGCATCAATTCTCCAATACTGATGGAACCGTTCGATTCCCAAAGACCGGTGGATCCGACTGTTGATTCTCAAGAGCTCGGCCATCCGAAGAACTAAATAAGTCGTCATCTCTCCCTCGTTTTCGTGAATAGATAGAAGACACTGATAGAACCCAAGACTACAGCACCGTTTCCCATCTCATCCTCCTAATCGTTAAACCACTTACGATACACATTGCTCAATATACTAATATACAAGATGCCCCGACCCGCTGTCGCCGACTTTGTCGACTCCTTCTTTACTCGTGCTCTTTTTCAGCCAGACGACGCCCAAGCAGCGTCTGCGCTGGACACTGACCTCGCCCCGGATGCGACTATTGTCGTAGGTCATCCCCCCATTCCGCCATGCACATTCTCGCATGCACTGCAAACTGACTTGACAAAAACCACACGAAGATCAATGGCAACTCTCTGGCAGCCTCCGAATTTGTCGGTCTCATAACGACACAGTTTCGTGGCAGCTCTGTCGCCTCGGTTGGCGAGATCAAGGACCTCAACATCATCACTACCAACCAAGAAGGATCTACTGGGGTCGTCGGTCAGTGGACTCCTTACGTGACCAGGGGCAAGGAGGATGGTAAGGAAACCAGGCAGAGTGCAACTACGATCGTCCGGGTCGAAGAGAGGGGAGGGAAGCAAGTTGTCACGGCACTCTGGGAAGCTCAAAGTGCAGATGAGGCCTGATCTCCTGTATCCTTGAAGTAAACGTGCAGACACGAATAGGCGCTGTTGCTGCAATCTAGAGACGAAGTAGTGTATATGCCAGCGTCAACACGTCCTTGATGCCTGTTCTGAACCACCCTTTCTCTAAAGCACTATAGAGGATTCGGACCAGTCACTCTTGGTGTACCTTCACGTGCCGAGTAGCCACCCCATGACTGTTGACATGATTGATTAGCCGCACGCTCCATACGAGACGAGGAATATGCTTCTCTCCACTGACCTCGTCGTAAAGGCGGGAGTCAACACCCAAGTGCTGGAAAGTCAACCAGTTAATAGCTGCCGACAACCCACCACCACAAGCTAAACCCGTCCACGCATTAGCCCTGCAGCTCGTCAGAATGGGAACCCCGGATGCAGCTTACTGTTGACAACGCTCGCTTTACGAGAAACAACTTGGTCCAATGTGTCCCGGCCAAGTTTCTCGCCGACATACTCGCTCAGGTCTTCAGGGCTTCGTAGATATGTAAAGCCCGCTGGATCCTGGAGTAGGGACGAAGGAAAATCCAGAGGGAGGGACGTGGGTATGTGTCCACCTTCATATGACGGCAGCGGCCTTGCATCGATGAGCAGGGTATCCCGAGCAGATGGCGTCGGTCGCCGCGCAAGTTCTGCGACCTCGTCGAATCCTACGCCGCCAGTCAATCGGCAGTCCTAGGTTGAAGAGTGAAGGGCATCGTCAAGGTATCTTACCCACAACAGCCCCGGGGTGTACGGTTGGTACGGGATAGGTTGTCTCCTGTTGATCGATGCGTGAATATGGATCGATGATAGGTATCAGTATCTGGCCTTGCCCTTACCTGGAACTCTGCCGGCGGGCCTGTCTCGAGCTTCACACCCTCTTTCTTCGCACGCGGCAGACCGCCGTTGATCACGGAGACGTTCTCATGCCCGTAAACCTGTATAGCTCTGGCCATTAGCACAAGTGTCAACGGCCGAGCTCCTCGTCGAGCTGATGCACGAACCTTGAATGTCCATGCCGTGCGTGGGGCAGCAAAGATCCCTTCGCCATCGTAAACAATGACATGCGAATCCTTTGTGATGCCGTGCTTGCCAGCAAACGCTGCGAACCGCTCCGGCGAGGGGAGCATCAGGGCGTATCCGTCCGGGTGAGGCTCGGACACGGCATCCAGGTCCCAGAACCGCGCATTGGGAAGACGGGGTCCGGCAAGAAACTCTCTGTACGCGTTGCGCGTAGGCGGAGGCTCGTAGAGCCACGAGGCATCGAGGATGACAGCTTCGGGAGCTGTTATGAGCGGGCTGGTCGGATCGATAATGAGCGGTACGGACATTGTTGCAGGCTTCCGATCAACCAGGATCAGTGTTGCCTGTCGTGTAAGAGTGTGGTCGATCCTTGGTTCAAGGCATACACTGAGATTGCGACTGTTTTGAATCGAGGCCCGGTCCAGCCCTCTCCCCCCCATAAATAAACATCAAGCCCGGTGTTCACCATTTCTGACTGTGTTGTCGCCATCTCGGCCATCCGGACGCATCTACACGCATTGCTGATTGCGTGCTTGGCTGGAGTCGGCCATCCGAGGGTGGACAATACATTGTACTCTTGCACACCCCATGCGTTTCGAGGCCCACCCCTATTGGCCTCGCTCGACGCAAATGTCTTTTGATACGACAGTGACCCTGTATTATCATGCTGATTCCATGAATGCGTATCCTACTGAACCCCGCGTCATCACTTGACAACCTGTCTCGACCTCGCCTCCGAGCGCCATCACCACTGACGATTGACGTCTTCAAGCCATGACTACGGAAAAGCACGCCTCGGTGCTGATTATCGGCTGCGGCCCGGCGTTAGTCTCATTGCCTTGTTGGTACGTTGTTTACGTCGCTGACATTTCGGAAATCTAGAGGTCTCGGCGCCATCGAGCAGTTCAAGCGCAGAGGATTCAATGTCGTGGCTTACGAGGCGCGCGACGGTGTAGGTGGTCTCTGGTAAGATTGTCAAACCCCGTGGGTAGACACCCACCCAGACCACTGGTCGGGTGGCTGATTGCAATATATGCAACCGTTGCAGGAACTTTGACCCGAACCCGTCGCCTTGCTACGTCTCATTCGACAAGGATGGCCACCCTGTCGCTCTGACGGATCTGGAGCGATCCGATCAGCCAGCGCCGTCCCTGACACCGATGTATGGTGGCGTCACGGCCAACACTCCCAAGGTGAGATCTCAAGATGTGTACACAGATTATCCGTGTCAGTTCTGTACTGATCTCAAGCTTCCTTAAGGATGTTATGCCCTATAGGTCGCACCCGTACCCCCCGGGCACCCAGGACAGTCCAAAGTACGACGTCATTTACCAATACCAAAAGCAGCACGCCGCGGCTTACACAGACTACATCCGGTTCAACCGAGTGGTTACACGACTGCGACACACGCCCCCTGACCATGCCTTGAAGAACAAGTGGTTGGTCGAATGGACGCCACCCGTCAATAGCGGCTCGTCGGATGTGGGAAAGATCTTTGAGGAAGGCTTTGACCATGTTGTTGTCGCCAATGGATCGGACACGAGACCGTTTATACCCTATACGGAAAACTTGTGGCTCTGGAAGGGAGACATATTGCATTCAAGATGGTATAGAGAGGCGAAGGCATTCGCTGGAAAGGTAGCCACATCCGTGTACCCCTACTTCTCGAAACCACCATGACTGACACCAAAGGCAGACTGTGCTGGTCGTTGGTGCTGGCCCATCAAGTGAGTCGGTGCACTAGACACGGTCACGGTCTTTCGCACTCTGACTAACAAGTCTCAGGCGCTGACATTGTGAGGGAACTCGGCATGCTGAATGTTGAAAAGTCACCTCTGGCGCCGCGGAAGGTATACCGCGCTCTCCGGAGCGGCAAGACTCGTTATGATACGGAGCTCGAGAAAGGCTGGGCCGATTATATCAAGAATATTGCGCCCATACAGACCGTTGAGTCCCCTTCGTCCAACTCTGCAAACGGCAGGATCATTACCACCTCGGGGGAGACCCTGGATGATGTTGACGTGAGTTGTTGTTGTTGCTGTTGTCGTCGTCTACCGTGATCGTTTCGAACTCGCGGGACTGACTATGTATTCAGGTCATCATCTTTGCTACTGGATTCTTGTTCCGCTTCGAGTTCTGCCGCCCATCCGACACCCCGTTCGACAAAGCACCTCTGCTCAGATACACATCTGTGCCTCCTGAATATCCGAGGCCCCCGAGCGAGCTGGTTGGAAAAGCTGAACTGGATGGAGGACACCGTCAGTCGACCACATGTATCGCTTGAGAGACGTCGCTAATCGATAGGTGCATCGCAAAGGCGTCCATAATCTCGACGCGCATCAGCTGTTCTACCTCCCTGACCCGACCCTAGCATTCCTCCTTCTCCACGCCGAAGCCATTCCGTGGCCCTTTTCGGAGATGCAGGCCCGTGTCGTAGCGGCTCACTGGTCGGGTACAAAGCTCGACTTAGCCCCTCATCCCGAAGAGGAGTCGGATTCTCATTCCGTTCTGGTGCTCGGACATCCTGGAGAGCAAGCTACCCCCCCAACATCTGATCACTGCACTGAATCAAGGCTAATTTGTCCGTTTAGATTCGAGTATGCGGAAAAGTTGTTGGCCCTGATTGGTGAGGGAGGGCCAGAGGAAGTTGCTGCCGACGGCCGATGGGGCGCTTGGTCGCCGGAGAAGAAGCATATCCGAGAGCTCATTGACTAGGGGAGTACATCGAGCCTTCACACTCTCATTGCAGAAGTGGTACATCTGAACTGCTATAAGCAACATGAAAATCTGCAACTAGGGACGGAGAGCGTCGGACATGATCTGCTTGGTCTTAGGGTCTTAGGCCATGAATCCTATGCTTGTTTGCCGTGCCATTCGGTCTGAGAGGAGGGGCGTCATCAGAGAATCGTCGGCAATGATTGTGTCCTTTGTCTCCTAAATTTTCCTGAACAATCCATCATTGAGGAATGAAAAGCTGTCTTCCCACACTGTATTGTCCGACACACCGTACATCCACGCGGGATCAATCATCTCGGAATGTGCGGAGGAGGGCCATACTATACCCGTCTCACCTCCCTGATACATAAACAGAGGGTTACCGCCCAAGCCAGGTGGCTGCTGATGATCGAACGATGCAGCAGAGTCCTGCGACGCAGCTACGCTTCCCGATAAGGATTCGGCATCCAATCTCTGGGCTAGGCCTCCTTGTTGGCGTGAAGGGTCGATTGCCGCACCTTTTGGGGATGAGCGTGCCATTCGCCGGGCAAGCACCCTGATTTCAGCAGCTTCAGCATGAGGAGTCGAGCTATTATTGCGATCCAGATCCCGCGACAGATGGAGGAGCGACTGGGCGACCGTCTCGGCGTGCGGGATGAGCGGCGCGAAGATGGACAAGATGTCGATGGCCAGCAGCAGGTCTGGCCTGTGCTCGAGCGTGAGATTCGAGTCCTTCAGCATGCATGCGATGAGCGTGTGGGCGGCGGTGGTGATGTGGGAGACAGCCTGGAATCCGCAGAAGCGGAGAAGACCGAGGTGCCGCAAGCGAGAATACGTCTTCACCGTGTCTACGGAGAGACGGCAGGCTTCCAGTGTGGCGGAGCTGGCGCTCTCCGTCTGAGCTGGGTCGCCGCCGTCCTCCAGCTCATCCATGAGTGCTTGCCGGGCTATGAGGGTCCGGACGAACTGGAACACTGTCCGGACGCGGCAGGAGAAGAGGAAACTCGACGTCGGGCTCGGGGTGATATCGGTCTGTGACAGATAGGACGGGAGTTGACGCTCAATCTGTTCACCGCAGTTAGCAAAGCCCATGGAGCTAGACACCGGTCTTGTCTAGTGCGGCGCTTCTTACCTCATCAAGCCGCATCTGCGCTCGCCTCATGAGCTCGCTGCGGTTGGTCGGGGCGTCACTCAGAGAATATGCAGCTGCCGGTGACTTGGAAGGGGCGTTTATGGCGGATAGCACCTGGAGGGATGAATGTGTCAGCTTCAGAGTTCTGGGGTTACATGTTTCGGCAAGAGAACGAACCTGCTCTAGAACTATGTATATCTGTAACGTCTTGACAGCGGCTGCTATGGCGAGCGGTGGACTGTCATCTGGTTGAGGGAGAATCTCCGTCTTCCTGATGTACTCGTTGCTAATGACGATGGGCAGATCAACGTTGCCTATCTCCCTGGTCAATAACAGAATTGTTTTTTTTTTGGTTCATTATCCTCTCGATAGTGCACCATGGGCACAAATTCTACTTACATTCCGATAGTTTGATGAGCGGAGGCCGTCCTTGGGAATATGAGAGCGTGATATCGAGCATATACAGCGCCCAGAACAGGCGAGTGCGGATCTGTCCAATTCTCAGAACTGTCGACACCATGGGATTTGGGATTGGAAAGGGAAAGATGACGTGATTACCTGCAATGTGACGGGGTCCATCCTGAACTCCACAGTACTGCGATGCAGCCCGGTTGCGAATGCCAGGCTGACAGCTTCTGCGACAAAGATCGAGGCCGAGCCTTGTAAGACCACATCAGGACTCGATCTCCGGCAAGAGTCCGTCTTCACTTCCCCAGAACTTAGAACTTACCAGGTGATGTGTGGCCTTCGGAGAACAAGGCAAGATCTAACTGCTGGTCAGTCAAAAGAGATGCCGATAGAGCAAGGTTAGACAAGACGAACGGTAGAGAGCCAGGATGTAGCGGATATCGAGCTTGTTCTTGCTGAGCCGCAGCAAGTTTTGGGAAAGCTCACTGTAGGCTTCGCCAGCTTGACATGTCTCCTGGGGTGGGAGTAGAGCTCTGGCGCTCCCGACAAAACGGACCGTCACGGCGAGGATGGCCATCAGCATGGCTCCATACTGAGCTGTGCACGGCAGCCTACGCTCGATCGTTGCGTTGAACTCCTGTATCCCTCCGGTCAGCTTCCGCGCAATGCTCCCCATTGCCCGAGAGAGTCGATACTTACGGACAGGAATGATGGGGTATGCAGTAGCGGGAAGAAAACGGCTATAGGGGAAGAGACGAGGGTAAGCAATGGCTCTCAGGTTGCAGAGACAAATCGTACAGGTTTACAACACTGGGGGAGCCTAACGGTTGTTCATATGCTGACTGATCAGTCTGTTCACGAGGCCTTTTGGACAAGCCTGGAGACACAGGTCAATGTAGTTGTCCGAAGATGTCGCCGCTCTTGTGATCCCCAGCGCCTCCGCAGAGTGTGACGTGAAATGGGAAACTTCCTTGTCGCTCTCGGAGACCTCGACGGTATGAAGCAGGCCAAGGCGGGCGAATAAGGGCATGACGGTCGACGGGCCCGAGTAGACAATCTGGTCGTCAGAATCGATGAGCAGAAGATGTTCCTTGCTGAATCTGGAAGGTATATTCTCATTCTTTTTAAACTCAATGCAAGTATCACTGTTAGTTAAAGAACGAAGAAGAAAAAAGAGTCTATATCTACGAAGAAGCCTTGGGGGTTGCCTACGCTGCCATTCTCGGACTCCTCACTTGCGAACTGAGTTCTAGAAGCCTCCAAGGCCGAAGAAGTGTGCGGTGATGAGATTGCCGACGATGGCGATGCTGCACTCTTGGCGGATGATGCGGTCGGGCGCTTCGCAATATTACTGACCGACATGTTTCAGCACCGTGAACCGCGGGAGTTTGTGATGAGAGTTGGCAGTATCATCTCAGCATTCCTTACTTTTTTGGATTGGGGTGCATCACGACTCGCCGCCTGTGAAGGACCGAGGTCAGTCAGATGGTCGAAGCTGTTCAGCGCTCGACCCTTCATGATCAGCGTTTGACCTACGGCGTAGAGAACGTGCATGGCTTGCCCCCTCTGCTGCACCTCGAACATGGTCTCTGGCCGTCACAACGGACCTTCCGTCGCCTGCAAGTGTCGCAGGCGACCAGCATCTTCCACCTGATCTCGGACAGGTCAACGGGTTCTTCATCCTGCCGGGCCTTGGGCATGGTATCCTTGACGACGAGTGTACGTCTGGGTCATGTGAAGTTGGCAACTTGGGTGATGAAGACTCGATGTCTCCTTTAGTATCACTATCAGCTTTGGCGGTGGATAAGATTGAAGAGGGGCTGGTTCCCCTTGATTCCTCGGTCGTCGGGTTTCCGGGAGGCTTACTTTCCTTCCCGTTCGACTGAACAGAGTACAGTGTGCACGGTATCGCTATCATGTACCGTGGCATCTGCGCCCTGCGTGATGACGAGAGCGATGGAAGTCTAGACTGGTTGAGATGGCGTGCTACGTAAGCGGGAATTCGCTATTGGCCTTGAGGGGTGAGATTGCTCGGATGGCCGAGCCCCTCCCCATGCGGTTGCTATTAATACGATCCGTAATTGACAAACGATATGTTCGCTACTCCCGACAGTGCCATGCGTCTCGGGGTTCTTCCAAGACCCTATATCGATCGGACTGTACAGTCATCCAGGGGCTCGTCTACCGAATGATACAGAGGCTGAACATTGCCACGCGTCCGTGCTGCATCGATCGAAGATTGCACGTCGGCAAGCAGCCATGTCGTCTCTTCTGCCCCAAAGCGCGGGCTACGCGACCAGTAAGAAGACCCTGCCTCCATGACTTGCTTCCTCTACCGTATGCTGTCTATCAGCTGACCGCACCGGCGCACCCTCTCAGTTTTGGTCGGCGGCGCCTTCTTCGCCGCGCTCATGAACGGCATCACCTGGGTCCAGACTCGGTACACTACGTTCAACGCCGGCAAGGTGGAAGAGTTCTCCTCGGCATCCAGGTCGATAAAGACGGGAATGTACGTAGAGAGAGTAATATACATCTGACCAGCTCTCGTATAGGATACCCTCCAATTGACCGTATCCTTTTCTGATAAATCAATTGATATATATATATATAGGCTTTCCGTCGGCATTGCGTCTGCTTGGATATGGGCCGCCGTTTTCCTGCAGACGGGCACGCTCACCTACCTCTACGGAGTCTCGGTACCGTATTGGTTCGGCATGGGAGGATTTGTCGGTACGGCGACTATTCTTCAAACTTCCGTCGACGGCCAGAGACACACGAGTACAGGGGGATCTTGGAAACTGACAGCAATCGGATTCTAGAAATCGCGGCTTTCGCATTTGTCTCTTCCAAGATTAAGGCAAACGCCAGCGGGGCATCGACGTAAGGATCGGAACCTTTTGAGACGGCAAGGGCTGACCTGATCATGGCCATGGCTAATGCTACATCCCCCTGCAGATATCTGCAGGTCGCAAAGGTGCGGTTTGGCACTCTCGGCCATCTCGCCTACATGTTCGCCGCGCTAGTAGCCAACTTCGTGGTGGGTAGTGAGATCCTGATCGGTGGATCCGGCGTCATCGCGGGAATGACGGGAATAAACCAGTACGCCGCCGTATGGCTGTTGCCGTTGGTCATCGTCGCCTATGGTCCGTTACTTACCTCCAGCCCTTGCTGATGGAGAGACGATGGCTGACCGCGAAATGACAGTCTTGACGGGTGGTCTCCGTGCCACTTTCGTGTAAGTATCGATACCCGTCTAGATCCTCACCGGCCGGGCCAGTTGCTTGCTGATGCTGCAGCGACACACCCCAGTGCCGACTACCTTCACTGCGTCATCCTATTTTCCTGCCTCATCACACTCGTCCTGGCTACGTACACGCGAGGCGATGCCATCGGCTCCCCTGGCAAGTTATACGACCTCCTGCTGGAGGCGTCCGAGGTATCGACCGTACCCTCCGCAGCGACGAGGGTTGTTCACGGAGACTGACGGTCCAGCAGACAAGTCCAGCCGTCGGCAACGGACACGGCTCATACCTCTGCTTCCGCAGCGAAGGTGGCATGTGTGAGCCGCACCCCCTCTCTCACTACCGTTCCAGTCCCGAGTTCTCACTGACGCCGAGAGACAGACTATGCTGTGACCGCCGCAACGTCCTTCTTCGGACTGTCATTCTGTGACCAGTGTGTATGGCCAGACCAGGATCGGGCCCGAGACAAGACTGACACTGAGTGACGAAAGGGCCTATTGGCAGCGGAGCATTGCCTCCAGGCCGGCGGGCACCAGCAAAGCGTTCATATTCGCCGGCTGCTTCTTCTTCTCCGGTAGGCCTCGACGTCTGCTCTCCCAGCCGACGGGCGGCTCGCTAAATCTGCTGTGCCCCAGTTGCTCTCGGAATCGGGTCCTCGATGGGCTTAGCAGCGCGCGCTCTAGCAACGAATCCGGCCTTCCCGGCTTATCCCGACGGCCTCACTCTCGAACAGATCGGCGCGTAAGTCTCCTCTACACTCCACTGCACGTAGATCGACTGACAGACATGATGCGTCTGCGTCTCAGGGGGCTGGCTGGGCCGTTTGCGAGCGTGGCGATCCTGGGAGAAGCCGGGCCGGCCATGTATACCATTATTGCCTTCATGGTAAGTGTTGTCGCGGCGATATGCGTCTGGATCGCACCGGCGATGTGTCTGACCGATATCAAAGGCAACTACCTCAGCACTGTCCGCCCAACTGGTTGCGGTCTCGACAATCTTCTCTTATGACATGTAGGAACTTCCCTCGTCTCCGCACCGGCCTCTCGCACCACTGACCCGGATCGCGCCAAGCTACCACGAATATGTCGTCAAGGATGCGACAAACTCGCAGATGATGAAGTCCAACCATGTCGGTAAGTCTGCTACTAGGCAACCCGCCTCCTGCACGTCTGCGGAGTGCACCCTGGCTTACATGCTCCAGTGGTCGTCATCTGGGCCGTCTTCCTCGCCGGCATCGACACCGCGTTCGTGCACATCGGCCTGGACCTCAACTTCCTGTTCTACCTGATGGCAGTGTGCACCTCGGGCGCCGTCTTCCCCATCGGCCTTCTCATGTGCTGGACCCGACTGAACAAGGCGGGCGCCGTCGCCGGGGTCACCGGAGGCCTGGTCATGGGTATGGTTGGCTGGCTGGTCGCCGCCGTCGAGACGCAGGGGAGCATAACCACGACGACTCTGACCGACAGCAAAGTGATCCTTGCTGGGTCTCTGTCGGCCTTGGGTGCCGGCGCCATCCTGTCCATCGGGCTGTCACTGATTAGGCCGGCGTCGTTCGACTTCAAGCTCACCCGAGCGATCGGCCACGGCACAACCATGCTAGACATGCCCGTCACCGCCGAGGCGACGACTTCGGATGAGAAGGGACCTCAGAGCGGCGCCGAGGGTTCAGCGGCCCCGGTATACGAGCCCGCCCTGGACCGCATCCGAGATGGGGGTGTGACCGGCGAGAGCGGATCGCGGTATGCCGAGGAAATCAAGGAGCTCGAGGCATCGCAAAGCCGGTTCCGCCTCATCACCGCACTCTTCCTGCTCGTCATCCGTGAGTCGTGTCCGGTCTCGTCGACGTCGAGCAGCGGCTAACCCTGATGGCCGACAGTCGTCCTCATCCCTGCTCCGCTCGCCGGAACTGCGGTCGTGTATCCGAGGGGCCTCTTCGTCCTGCAGTGTGTTGCGGCAGCGGCATTCGTGCTGGCCAGCCTGATTCTCGTAACCGTTGTGAGTGTCCCCGACCCCTTGCCGCAAGCTATGCGGACACTGACCGCGGGCTTGCATGCGCCGTCAGTGGCCGCTATTCGAATCGCGACACGAGCTCGGAGAAATCCTCGGCCGCATCGTCCGCAATCAACGTCTGGACGTCGAGCAGCCGCGGAATGAGTAGGGATGGCAGTACGAGACTGCTACATGGCCGGTAGCCCGTCTGCTCACCCTCCAGATAGAGTCGACGTCCGATCTGCGGTCGAGTCTGTATATGCGCGGAAGCACGCAACAGGAAGCAAGGTTGGATCATCTCAGCAACACTTCAATATCATGACCAGACTAGATATATATCGATCAGTACATATTGCACGGTAAATGGCAGCAATGAGCTCAAATGAATGATGGGAATGCAGCAGCAGCACGCAGGTATCAACAACCCGGCAGCTGCCCAGTCCGCTTAGTTTGGCTTTCCGTCTCCGTCTCCGCCTCCGCCTCCGTTTCCGTTTCCGTTTCCGTCTCCGTTTCCGTCTCCGTTTCCGTCTCGGTTATCAATCTATCTGTTATTGTCTATGACCCTCTCTATACGAGTACTAGGGAGGGAAACAAGTCCGCAACCGCACCCGCCAGATGCCGAGTACGAACCCGAAGGACGGCAAGGCCCAAGTCGGACCTCCGACAAGGCGGGATTTTCAACTGCACATAATCTGTACATGGTGCATGGACATAGCCGTGGCTGCCCTCGACAATCTGTCGGGCCCCAGCATATCAGGGGGGCCCTACCGGCACGCGGATGCTGGCCAAGCTCGGTCGTGGACATCCACTTTGGGGGGTCTCGGACGACGATCTGGCCCACTAGGTTCTCAGCCCCGGCCCCCCAATCTTCGGTCTGGTGTAGTATCAGCTCGTGGGTCTGTCCGTACGGGTAAAATAAGCAAGACCAAGCTTTCCTATGCAATGGCCCACTACCGTACTGGGCAGTAAAAGTCTCGGTTGTAGAGATCGTATCCCATCGAGCACAATAGCAAAGACTGCGGATTCCCTAGAGAATCCTTTTACGTGTACGTTTTGTACCGCGCGGGGGAGCGATAGCTCGGGCTCAGGCCCATCTTGGAAGTTGGAATGCATATTCAGCATAGTCATATTAATTGTCAAGAGAGCGCACACACGTGTGGCCTTGGCAAGCCATGTTATGGATGCCCAGTGTCTGGATCCATGCACAGGTGAATAAGGTAATAATACCAGGATGGATATTGCTATGGCCTATGCTTCTGAAAATGCCTCATTTCCGAGAACAGGGTGAATTTTTTTTTTCTCATCTAGGAGTATCACTGCATGTATCCGCACATACGACATACGGGACAGTCCCTACCTCCCTATACAGATCAGAACTTACATGTAGACAGCTTCTTCCTCTCTCCCGTAGACGATAGCTAGCAGAGACTCTGACCGTGAGGCGTATCGAATACGCAACACACGAGCGTTGTGCAGGAGGGCCGCTCAATTAGTAATGGAGTCAGACGCACAGGCCCATGCGTTATTTACAATTGTCGTATGATAGTCTTGATATAATACATGATGTATTATGTGCAGTTGCCGTCCGCGGACACTCACCGGGGGGGGGGGGGGGGGGAAAGGGGGGGGGGGGGGGGGGGGGGGGGGGGTTACATGCGGAGTGATGCTCGATTCAATATTGTGTATTATCCGACTCCACTGGTGACCGTCCGCACAGCAAAACGTACATGTATGATGGGTGCGTAGATGGGTGCGTAGCGTTGGAGTCTCGGATACTGGTTAATGCTCGAAGGAAAGAGATTGCAAGTTGCGTAGGTAGGAGATAGCGGCCATGATGATGCCCCCCCGAGTACAGGCCACCAGCTTTCCGGACATGGGGGGTTTTCCTGGAGAGCAGAGCAATATATATGCGTATACGCGTAGCCGGCTAGCGATCGAGGACGCCACACATAAGCTTTCGCGGAGTAACAATCTATACGTATATAAGCATAAATACACTCGTATATATCATACGAGGTACCCGCGTATTACGTATGTAGATATATATATATATATGTATATATGTATATATATATATATATCTACATACATGTGCTCCGAACATTCATCGTCTCGACCATGGCATACATTCTGGTTCCGAACTTGTTCTGAACTTGTTGGAAGAGAGCTGTGCATGTCTGGCAATATCTCCCACTGATCGTGCATACACGAGTATCGACACGCACTGCGCACTGCATGTACTCGCGCTCCGCAGAGCCCTACAAGCATACCTGCCTGCGCATGTATATATTGCTGCGATGCATGGGCGGAAGGGGAAGGGCTGGGCTCCCTCTCCGAGTACGGCTACGGCTCTGAACCGGGTAGCTGATCGTCATGGATGCGGAGCGCTCTACAGGCCGCCGCCGTCTAGCGTCACGCCATAGGTCCGGTAGATTGCGCTCCAAAAGGTCGAGCAATACGAGTAGATAATCATGCGACGAGTACGGACCATCACTGCAGCCTACCAGGACGACTGATACTGACCTCCTCGCCTTCGCACGTATCACAAGCAGTTTGGCTCCATACACGTATCCTTCAATTCTTCAATCTTCTCCACGTCTCGCCCGATGTCGCTGGATTGATTGCCTCCGGATGAAACCTCCGAGCCACCGACAGCAGAAACGCCGCAGGGGGGAGGGGGGATTGATTCATTGGCAATACACATGTGCACAGACATTCTCCACGTGGTTCGGTGATGATTTTTCCCCCCCTCTCTCCTTTCTAGTTGAAACATTTGAGTTCAGCGCCCGAGTTATAACCACATTGGCTGGTATATCGCATATACATGTAATCTGTGCAGATTACATGCAGACTTAACAGTTCACCCGTAGTTTTAGTTCTCTCTTGCATTTTTTCTGTCATCATCAGTTCTTACTTGACTAGGCCCTAAGGTCCCACGCACACACACACACACACACGCACACACAGTCATTCCGCGCACAGGGGGGGGCAAGACAAACCCCTTGGATGGAAAATAAGCAGACTTGCAGTATCGATATATTACCGCTCGTTTGAATCTCCTTCTCAGCCAGAGTTGACACAGCCGGTCACATATTGCACGTAAAGTACACATCAGCTCATGTATCATATCACGCGTACATGGCTATTACACATAGTCTTTCCGTGCCTTGTAACGATCAATGCGGTTGGGTTTCCATCCCACGACAATAATGATGATGATAAAGGGAAAGAAAGAGAGAGAGAGAGAGAGAGAGAGGGAAAACCTTGTTCGACGGCAGTAGCCGGCAAAAAGCGGACCGCGGTAGATTCGATTGCCATGGCCATGCCCAAGTTAATATCTCTACGAACCGTAAAAGATGTAATACCGAATCCTCGTATTCGAGGCGAGAGGAGGATTGATCTATGTGTCAACAATTGAGTCACGAGGCCTGGACAGGGACGAGGCACAAGTACCTGCACGACACTCCTCCCCTCTATATAAGAATAGTTATCAGTCTACTCTGTAAGATCCTACACATGATACGTATCCATATACTTGCTGTACGGAGTAGATATGTCCTTGAAGAGGACCACCATTCTTTCCAATACAGAACCACACACACACACACACACACACACACACACACACACACACACGCACACACACGTACCGTATACACCATATTACCTCTTATTAATCAGCCCCACCATGACGTGACATTGTACAGTTCTAGTGCATAAAAACCGGGGATGTGATTGATTAGATTAGATGACGGTGTATGTGCCGTCCAAGCGGAGAGACTACATGAGGAAAAAAAAATACGGAGTATGGAGTACATCAAACGGCATTTACCCAGGCATTCAACCTACAATATGAGGTATATTAGCTGCTAAATTCACTTAAAAATAGATTCTCTTTAACCTTGTTTTCCTTTTCGTTCTGTCTCTTTCGGTAATTTTTTTTTCCATCTCTTTCCCCCCGAGTAAGGAGTAGAAAATCCCTCAACGTTGAACTGATCCGTAGCTCAACAGAACAGCATGTAGACAACATGTCACCGACTAACTGGACTTGGCCTGCGTTGGGGTGGGAACTTCCGAGAAGAGACCTGCCCAAAACAGGAGCGGTGCTTTCACAGCAAGGTATCATTGCCTGGCTCTGTGTGTCTCGGTACAGAGTGACACACTTGACTCGCCTAGTAACGGGTATGCGCTCGTAACTAGTACGGGATATGACGGTGGGGGGGGAGGATCCAGCTTTTTTCCCCCTGTGAGCCAGTTGCGCCGATCGTCGCCCTCATACTCTGATGGGCGTGAGAGTGAAGAGTGGCGCGCAGGAGGTGGGATGGGATCCCAGCCGTACCTGTACTGGTCGAGGGGAAATACATGCCGGGTACATTGCGGAGTACCTGCGTGGGATAGTACGAGCGTAGTCGTGTGGAGCGTAACAGCTACCGGCCTCTCTCCGGTCTGGGTGAAGGCGGGGAGACCCGTGGGGAGCAGAGCAGAGGAGACAGCCGTTTGCTTCCTGGTGTGGTGGTCGGTACCACCTCATGGTATCCGTCGCTGGCGGACGGGCTGGAGTTTCGGTAGCTTTGGCACCACCGCCCGCGACTATAAAGCCGGCCATGCCGCCCGACCCTTCTCTCTGGTGAATCCTACTCCCGTATTCCCATCCCTCTCCACACCCGCATCTCACCATGAAGCTCACCCCATCCTTCCTGGGAGCCGCCCTCGCGGGTACGGCCCTGTCCGTGTCGGTGCCCCGTTCCGCGTCGCACGTCATCCAGGACGAGTCGAGCTACGACTACATCGTCATCGGCTCCGGTCCGGGCGGCGGCCCCCTAGCCGTCAACCTGGCCACCGCCGGCCACAGCGTCCTCCTCCTGGAGGCGGGCAAGAACAAGACCGACACCTACAACCAGCGCATCCCCGTCTTCTTCGGCGAGGCCCAGTGGGACACGGAGCAGGGCTGGTGGTTCTACACCAAGAACTACCTGGACGAAGAGCAGAACGCGCGGAGCACCAAGGTGGTGTGGGAGAAGCCCGACGGCGGCAAGTGGGTCGGCCTCGACGCGCCCGAGGGCTCCAAGCAGCTGGGCCTGTGGTACCCGCGCGCCGGCACCCTGGGCGGCTGCGACACCCACAACGGCGGCCTGACCGTCCGCCCCTCCGACTGGGACTGGGACAACATCAAGGACATCACCGGCGACGAAAGCTGGGGCCACGAGCACATGCTGCACTACTTCCAGCGCATCGAGCGCAACACCTACCTGCCCTACAACGCCTCCGGCCACGGCTTCAGCGGCTACCAGCCCATCGGCGTCGGCAACAAGACTCTCATCGAGCGGGAGCCCCAGGTCCTCGCCATCGGCCAGGCCTCCGCCGCCGCCCTCGGCTACGAGGACCGCGCCGCCAGCACCGACTGGGACGTCGTCGCCAACTGGGACATCAACGCCGACACCCCCGACCGCGACAGGCAGAACGACGTCTACCAGATCCCCTTCAAGCGCGGCGAGAACATGGAGCGCTACAGCGCCGGCAACCGCGTCAACGACGGCGTCCGCCAGAAGATCCCCCTGACCGTCCAGTTCGACAGCTTCGTCACAAAGGTCGTCCTCGACTCCGACAACAGGGCCACCGGCGTCGAGTACCTCAAGGGCGAGAAGCTGTACCGCGCCGACCCCCGCTCCACCAAGAACAGCACCGGTATCCCCCACGCCGTCCGGGCCAACAAGGAGGTCATCGTCTCCGGCGGCACCTTCAACACCCCTCAGATCCTCATGCACAGCGGAATCGGCCCCGCCGACCACCTCAGGGAGCACGGCATCCCCGTCAAGATCGACCTCCCCGGCGTCGGCCGCAACCTCCAGGACCACTACGAGGTCCCCATCATCCAGGAGCTCCCCAAGAACTTCACCTTCTTCGGCGAGTGCACCTCCCCCGAGACCGTCGACAGCAACCCCTGCTTCCGCCAGTGGCGCGAGGGTGGCGGCCCTTGGGCCACCCTCGGCTTCTTCGAGTTCGTCCTCTGGACCTCGTCCGTCGCCCCCCGCGGCGAGCGCGACATCATCCTCTACGGCACCGGCACCGCGGTCACCGGCCACGTGCCCCCCTACACCAACGCCACCAAGCTCTCCCTCGGCAGCAACTACTACACCTACACCATCTCCGAGTCCCACCCCCACAACCGGGCCGGCCGCATCCTCCTCAACTCCGCCGACCCTCTCGACGTCCCCGACATCAACTTTGAGTACTTCCACGACGGCGGCGACAACGACATCCAGGCCATCGTCGATGCCATCGAGTTTACCCGCAAGATCTTCGACTCCCTCCCCGGTGGCCCCAACGCCACCCTCGGCGAGGCCTTCCCCGGCCGCCACATCAAGACCCAGGAGCAGCTGCGCCAGTACGTCCGCGACGAGGCCTACGGCCACCACGCCAGCGGTACCTCCTCCATCGGTGCCGACGACGACCCTCTGGCCGTTCTCGACTCCAGGTTCAGGGTCAGGGGCGCCAAGAACCTTCGTGTTGTGGACGCTTCCGTCTTCCCTACCACTCCCGGCACCTTCCCTCTTATCAGTTGGTTCATGATGAGCGAGAAGGCCAGCGACACCATCTTGCAGGATGCCGCAGATGTATTCAAACTGATCGGGGTTTAATTACACATTTTGTACCTTAATAAAAACTTTTTTTTTTCCCGATAGTATCCTCAAGGAAACGAAATCCTATGCACGCACAATACTATTAGTAGCCCTGAGTTCTCTACTGCGACGGCGACATGGCCCGCGATCCACCAGCTTCAAAGCTCAGCTCGCCGCGTTGCCGTATACCCTCTCGGTCAATCAACACCTGGATAGACGCTGATGGGTTGCCAGGTCGAACACCCGCTTAATTATGTAAACAACACTAAAGTAAGGTCATGTCCTGTTTCCGGCGTGCTCTGGCTATGGAGTTGCATCTGTGAGATGATAGTCATCAGTACTCGCGTCTGTAGAGGCATTGTCTTCCTTTCCTGAGCATGGATATGGAGGGGGTGTAGAAATACTTACCCCTCCATTTTTTTTTTTTGGCGTCTTGTAATCATACGGCATGGCCTTCACCTCTATCAGGTAGCGTAGAGCGTATTTAGGCGTGGCGCAGGCGGTCGACGTTAAACTCGGAAAGATGTCCTTTCTCGGCCAGCAACTCGGTGATGAATGCGGCCGAAGTATCGTCATACACAATGCCTACGGTCCCAGGCCCATTCCACAATTCAGGGCTCTCGTGTTCGGAATGAACTTGAGCGCAGTGTCGGATACTGCTCCTCCAGTTGTCAACCGTAAACTTGGGCAACTCTGTCCGGGTGTGCTGCAACAGTTCGCCCGCGAACCCAATCTTGTTGTTTTTGCGCTCTCCCTGATCAAGTTGTCGGAGACGTCTACCTCACTAACCTGTCCATAACCGCGCGGCCTGTTGATGATGTGAAGTAGATGGCATCATAGGATGGAAATGCTGAGTTCCTGGAACGAGTGACAACGTGCTACAGCATGCGACGATAGTCTGTCTGCGTCGAATCCCGAAGCCGCGTCCGTATGGACAGCTGCACAGGTACATTTACGGGCGACAACACCTGTCTTGATGTATGGGCTGCAGCAGTCGCCCCGGCAGTGGACTGTCGATGAGCACGGGCAGTCGGGGACCTGGTTGCGCGGATCGCTTCCGAATCGGTCTCGTACGTAGGCGTGCCGGCAGTTGTTGACATACTTTTCTGGAGTATGGACCGCAGTCAGTCTCGTCTCGGAGTCAACCGCATGGTCAGAAAGGGGGATGGGAGGCGTGGCAAGATAACTGGCCCCCGGGCTGTCCCAGGTTTCCTCAGCATGGTCGTCTTCAGTGTCATCTTATCTTGGTATGATCTCGGCACTTCAGATATGCCACGTTCTTTCAGCAGTCCCGGCAGGGAGCAAGGGTGTACATTGATTATGGCAGATATCGCGGGCAACAGGTTTCTTTGGGGCTCTTCGGGAACATCAGTGCTGGGATCCGATAGAAGCCATTCGAGAAGTTTGTTCGGAAGTTTACTAAGGAAGCACCATTCCCGATCGGAAATTTTGCTGGGGACGAACACTTTGAGGCCCTGAGGTGTCTCATCAATGTGTGCAGCAATACCACTCTCTTCCTCGTGTATGACTGTCTTGTCGTCTACACCGTTTGGTAGACTAATCACTGTGGTCATTCTGCGAGTCTCGAGCGTCTCGCTCTGCCGCAACATCCTGTAGAGTCCGTCATATCCCTTGTGAAATTCGAGGACTTTTACAGGAAATGGCAATGCTATAAGATATAGCCATGTTAGTGGTCACATATTCGACTCGTCCATGTTGAGGTTAGGTCGCATACCCTAGAAGAGAGCCGACCTTATTTCCAATCTGACGCGGGGGCTCAGATACCGATCTCATTGACGTCTCGTCGGCTGAAGAGACGTCGCGCACCGATGTTGACAAGTATCTATCCTCAAGGCCGACCCATAGGATCAAAGGCCCGATGGTACTTACTTCGTTCATCGGCTTTTCACGTCTCTCGGGTTGGGATTGTGAACTTGACAGTAGTTTTGGGAGGAACTGGTCTGACCTGTCCCGGACCCAGGCCGGGGTTGCACAGCTTCTCGCAGAGCATATACAAAGTGTCATACTCTGTTTCCCAAGCCTTCAAGGTGTTCTGTAGGAAAGAATGCACTTTTGACTTGGAAATGATTACCTCCTGCTCTTCACGTATTCCTGTCTCTGAAGCGGCCGGAGTGGTTTGAGAAGGCTCATCCATTTTCTAGGCCTTTTCTCTGCGACGTAGCGTGCCATGGCAGACATTTTCTCGAATGTCTTGTCTCTCAGGCGCACATGGCGGCGAATTTGGATAGTGTCGTGTAGCCGATCTGTCCACGAGGCTGCGTCGAGCTTTGGCCGCTCAGGTGCATCTTCCAAATAGCCTGTGTTCATGAGATGCACGGGCAATCCAGGAGCCCCATCATCGAAGTTGGGACCCGGAGGTGTTGGCGCAAGAAGCTGGGAAGCGCTCAGAGGCTCATTTGAGGGCATATAAACATCTTCAGACTGGATCCTGGAGCCGACTATACTGCGTCAGAACGGGGACAGAAAAGGCACCATTTTCATCTGCCGGGCCATGAGCATTGGCCACAGCGTCGTGGGTGTAATAGAGAAATCGAAGGTGGGAAAGCGACGCCTTCAACAAGATGAGGTGAGGTTTATGTATGCTATGGTATAGTTGATGTATGAGCCTGCACACCACAGTTATCGGCGCCGTCTGCACATCCGTGGCATCAAATAAGTCTCGTCTATCAGCGTGGCTGGATGCCCGGGTATCAATAAGTCGGAGTCCGAGGTACTGGGGGATCTCCAGGCTGTTCCCATGGGCATGATACATAGGGTGTTGGCTGATAGAACATCACGAGCCGTCTGTGAGGGGCAGCAAGTCCTTTTTTTCCCCCCTATCAACTTTGGTCTCTGGTGAACCCGACTGGAACAGGCGCTGCAGAATACGATATGTGCGTCGATGCCGGTCTGAATCGGTAGTCGTTCTTATGCGCGATGGTTGGCGGCTCAGGTCAGATATTAGCCTTGTAAGGAAGTCACTCAGAAAAACAAGCTGTAGCCCGTGCTCTTGAAGAATCGTCAGATCTGGCTACTTGTACTGTCTGGACAAGTAAATTTCTGGTTCGATATCGGGAACCAGCGGGTCACCTTTCCGGTCAATGGTGTCCGAGGTCGGAGCTTTCATTTCTGTGATCAGTCTGAGAGGACCTGGGCTATCAGAGCGGATCAAGGCGTTTTTGCTCAAGAGTGTATCGATTTCCTCTATCATGGCAGGTCAAAAGTGACCCCACAGGTTACCGTCATTCCAAAACGCATCCACTGATACTGAAGCGTCTTGTGTCTGCACATCTCTAGGGCAGCCTGGACGAAAGCGTATGGGATGGCTTGTCTAAGTGCGAGGCTTAGACTGGCCAAGGCGACAAAGTCAGCTTGGACGATGAACTGTTCTGATAGTCAGTGCAATGGTGATACGGCATAGTCTTATGGCATAGAGGGCAGAATGTGTGCAGAGAGACATAGGGAGAAGATATGGCTATAGGGGTGAAAGGATACGATACTTTGAAGCCCATCTGGACGACAGGTAGAAACGAAAATAGCCACTGATTTTGCAACAGAGGCTCGGACTGGACTATCAGGGGGGAACACCAAGGTGATCTCGTTCATCTTCCATGACCCTGATGCCGCAGCATGCTTTCCGTAATGACGGCCTTCGTCATTGGACAGATTTAATGGCGGTATGAGTAGTATGTGAAATCGTTTCGTAATTTGCTTTGTCATACCAGGAGGATAAGATATTTCCTGTCTTCTGGCGTTAACCAAGGGATATTGGTCCTCACAACACAAGTAGGTGGTTTCCTTTGTTAATAACCTGACGCTGTCGTACACGTCCACTTTGATCCTTCTCAGGTTCCGCGTGAATAGAAGCACTCTTCATGAACGGTATCAAACTGATAATTGACAGGGGTAGATGCATAATCGCCCCCGTGAAGCCATAGTGTCATAATTGTCTTCCTCATTTCTCTCTCTCTCGCGTTCATGTAGGAGGTGTCATCGCAATTCTGTAAAATTTCAAGAAAGATCCGCGGACTGTCAGTGTATATATTCTCTACCACTGTGCCCATATGATCCTCCCAAATATCAGCACATAATCCTTTTAAGAGACATGGAAATACACCACGTCTGGTTCAGCTGTACTTACCGCTTGACTGAAGCGCTCGCAGTTTCCCGTCCGGCCACCAGGAGCTCATCCATGGCCTCTCTCGATTCCGTACTTGTTGTGCGAAGCTCGCGTCGCAGCTTCTCAGGAAGATGGCCATTGCGAGCGGCAATCCGCCCAATCAACCTTCCTGCCTCTTCTCGACTCGAGACAGACATATTCAGATTCGTTCGAGAGTAACAAGAGCACTGTGAAGATTGATAACTGAGAGCTGATTGTTGGCATGGAAGAAGATGAAAGGCAAGGGCGAGGAAACGAAGATCTCCTTCTTGAACAGTGGAAACCTCTCTACTGGGCGTTGGTTGCGTGCGGGCGCTCGGCAGTGTCGCCGTCTCCGCAACAGCATCATGTTGACGGCACTGGCTGCTTTTCAGCATGTTGGTTGTGACACGGCCCTGCTCTGCAAGGATCGTGCATTGGGGCCTACACCATAGGCCAACTCTCCTGTCCGAGAACCAGGGGCAATTCAAGAAAAGAACTCATGCGGATGGTCAGGAAAGGCGTATCTCAGTATGAGCATGCCTTGCAAATTACACGGCTCAGCCAATCGCTTCTCGAATGTCATGGCCGCAGCATGTTATGGGATGATGATGAAAGAGGTCAATGTTGCAGTAGCGCGTGCAGATGTGGGAAAGCCATACACGATGGATGCCTCTCCTCTGACAGGGAAGGAGCAGTCTCTTGGCTCACCTGCCTGCTGCCGGGGGTAAACCCAGTCTGCAGATACGGTCGGGCGGGATAGATGGCCGGGAAAATGGCCATGTTCCCAGGTACGATGGTGGTTTTTATGAAGACGGCGTTTAACGTGCCATCTATCTATAGTTTGGGTATGTTCATCAGAGGTAGGGAGGGTAGTTGGTAGATGGATCTCGTCCTTTCTAACGGATCTCGAAACAATAATATATTGCAGTAATGACTTTGCGTGGGGAACTGGGGGCCAAAAGGCAGTTACTCAGCTCATATACCAGTGCTACCACTCCAGCACAAGCATGGCTTCGACCACGTTATTAGTAGAATCACTGCATCTTTCCGAGAATCGTCGGAGAAAGAATTCGGAACGCGCATACGCCGTATCAACGACACTCGGAGTGTTGAGTGCAAGATAAAAAGTGGTACGAGTAGAAAGGATGTTTGCCTAAGGCTGATACGTTGTGTGGGGCGGCTCTTGGACCGTTTCCTCTACAAGTAACTAGGGGAGACTTTCCCCGAGAAATTGCCGGACCGTTCCTCAATCAATCTTTCGCTCATTGGGCCATCGTTGCAACTCCCATCGACACAAAAGGGAAATACGAGAAAGAAAGAAATCAGAAGCCACCCCATAGAATATCGCACGAACCCATCCTTTCCTCCGCTGGTGAACGTTTCCAAGGTCCCAGCGAGCCATGGAAGAAAGAGAATGATGACGCCTACAAGACCCGTGCCCTCCAGGGCCGCCCTGCACGCTCTCCGCGGTCTTGTCTTCACCACGTCCTGCTCCGTCATCCTCCTGGCCGAGGAGCGCCGACGCCGGACCAAGCTCGCCCGGACTGCCATTGACAATGCTCGGAAGCTTCACACTGTCAAGGCCCAGCGCCGTCCGATTGCCATGCTCGAGGCGTCGCGACACGCCGACTCGGATCTAGAACTCCTAGCGACGGACGAGCGGACCATCAATCCCCTTCCTCGCCGCAAGAGACGCCAACGCCCGGCACCGACGACGACGGAGACTCACTCCGAGACGGGACCGCCTCCTGTCACGAGCCGAATGGGAACGAACGAGCACGCGGTGAAGATCGCCTCTGCGTACGACACCCGCCACTCCCTCGACCTCGTCCTTGCCGCCTCCCACGCGGCCGCCTCTCGATACTACAACCCCACCAACCTCCCACCAAGCGCACCAGAACGCCGTCTGTCTTCCGCGTCCCTGTCAACACCGGACCTCGACAGGCCACACATCATGGCCGCACCCGGACTCTCCATGCCCAGAGATTTGACGACGGTGCGAGCACTGGGTTCCGTCCCGGAAAGGCGGGATTCGGAGTCGGGCCCTTTGGTTACCGATGTACTGTCGTTTCTAGACTCGAGAGACCCTCATGGACAGCCCGCCACCGGGATCCGGCTACTAGAGTGTTTGCTCGAGCGACTCGAGTTGGCATCACCTATTCCGAAAGAGACTGTTGCGACGTATCAAGGTCTGGCTTTGGACATTGTTGGACGCATCACACCCCAAAGATCAACATCAAGATCGGAACGCGAAAGCATGTCGAAACTGAGGTTCTACGCCATGAGGCTCCTCCGAACAGCAACACACCTCGACGGGATTCCTCTTCGGCGCGCCCTTGACGCCCTCATGCCGATGTACCGCGATGTGCCCGAGTTCATCGTGCCTGTCATGCAATGGCTCTCCGAGGCCAGAAACAATGCTGGGATGCGTGATTTCCTCCACTACCTAGCAGACGGCACCCATTCTGACTATGTGCTGGACTACCCCGCAGTTCTGGAGCTGCTCAGAATTCATCACAAGCGCTACGGCAAGTTGGCCGATACCCGACTGGTATACCGCGAGCTCGTGGATGCCGGGGTCTCCGAGGTGACCAGCGCACCGGAGGACATGGAATACGAGATCCACAGCTTATTCCTGCAGCTATCAAGTCGCAGCAGCGTGTACGACTCGATCTGTATCGAGGAGTCTGAGCTGCTGTGCAAGATTGACGCGGCCCGGGCTAAGAACGACCCTGCACTACAACATGCCTTGATCATTGCAGATGCCCTAGCTGGCCGATCGACATCCATCGAGGACGAACTGAGGGCGCTGGGAAAGGTGAAGGGTCAGGAGCCCGAGCAGCTCAAGTTCATCCTCAGGAGGCTCACGGACATTTGCTCCGGCCGCGTCGCGCCCGAGGCCTTCGAAGACGTTCTCCGAACCGTGGCCAGCAAGCACGCCTTGCCACTCAAGGGCAGGTGGCTGTACCCGGTCCTCCAGCACCACTCGAAGCGTCTGGACCGGGAGGCCATGCTCTCCTTCCTGCAATTCGCCCTCGACCACGGCTACAAGCCTACGGATAAGTTCTTCTACAAGATATGCCACCTCTGGCGCAAGCAGTGGAACATGAGTGAAGAGTCCATACAACAGCTATACGAAGCCCTGCGCGAGACGATGCCGAATCTGTCGGCCCCGGTGGACTCTGTGGGCGGCACGGCCAAGCAGGAAGACTGGGAGGCTATGTACATCCGCTCGGCTACCAGGGTCGACCCAGAGGGGTCAGTAGACGCCAAAGCGCTCGCCTCTCTGCAGAAGGATGCGCTCGCCGGCAGGTGGGATCGCGTATGGACAAGGTACGCGACGGCCGAGCAACCCCCTTCCCTGGGCGCCCTTCGTCTCGGCGTCATTGCACGGCTCAAGCTGGATGGAGGATCAACGGCCAGGACGAGCCAGCTGATGGCGGATGCGCACTCGCAGGGCCTGGATATAAGCCAGGCAATGACGCCACTGCTTCTGGCACAGATCGCCGAGGGCAGGGACGCAGGCGAGCTCGTGCGCTCGAGCCTGGACCAGGGCATCACGCTGCACGACATGGTGTACAACAAGGCAGCGCGAGCGCTCTCGGCAGGCGGCAAGCTCGACGCAGCGGTGGCGGTGTGCAACTCTGCGGCGGCCGAGAATGGCGCGGGAGACGCGTGCTACAGCGGCTTCAACTTTGCCAACCTCGTCTTCTCGTACACGGGTCTCTACCAGTACGAGCAGCTGACGCGGCTGCTGTCCGGGTTCCGGAGCGAGAAGCGCTGGTGGGCGGGCAGCACCGTCGCGATGGAAGCCGTCAAGCACTCGATGAAGACGGTGGCCAGGCGGCTGACGACGGCCCGGGGCGCGCACAACGTGCGACGCGGCGAAGCCATGCTCGGCAAGCTCAGCGACGCCTACTACCACTGCCGCCAGTGCAAGGCTGATGCGGCCGGTGCAGTTTTCCGCAGCAGCACGGCGAGGACGGTCAGCCCCTCGGATCCGGATCGTGCCCGTCGGGAGCAGCAACCGAAGACCACGGATGGAGCCGAGGCGGCCACCGCTCCTCCTGCCGCCTCTGCCGCCCCGGCCGCCCCGCACCCACAGAGGGATACCAGACCGCAGTGGAGGCGCGGGGCAGACCAGGACGAGGACGAACTGTCGCTGTCAGCATCCGCCGAAGAAGACCTGGCTCGGATGCAGCAGCAGCAGCAGCAGCAGGGGGCAGAAGATGAATCTCATATGTCCCCTTCCCTCGCTGGGCAGGACCAACAGCAGAAGAAGAAGGAGCAGCAACATGTCAGGAAGGAGACGCGGCACGGCAACAGAAAGACGAGGAAGCAGCATCACATGCAAGGCAAGGCACAGGGCGGTGTAGTGTATTATTGGCAGAACGGACCGTCGGGAGAGGCACAGACTGGGGTGGAAGCGTTGTGAACGAAGGCCAAGTGTTGGTGCTGATCTGTGTATGAAATGTTGGGGGTGCGATGTCCATGACCAACATGCATATTACATATCGGGGTCACCGATATTGAAAACCTGCAACGCCCTTTTTTTTTCCCTTCTTCTTCTTCTGCTTCTTCTTCTCTCCCAGCATTTGCCACTCAGATGTACCACTTACTGTCATCACCACCAAGTGAATAAGGATAGACTACTTAGAGAAGATGTATATTATTATATTTATTATATCATCATCAATATCACGATGTATTATTCTATCCATGAAAGCTGCGTGATCCATATACCTGGGAATCTCTGCCTGTCCCTGTCTCTCTTGCGCGTCGAGGCGTGTCCCGGTTCTCTGCAGACACGGACTCCCAATGTGTCTAGCCTTTGCAGAGACTGGGAGGATTCCAAAGAATGGTGCGGTTATCAGTTTCGCAAGAAAGGGGAGCGGTATGACGGGGTGGTCGATACGGATTAAGGAGATGATTGCATTCTGGGTGGTCTCATGGTTGAGAAATCAGGCAATGGCAGTCGTGGAATCCGAGATGTTGGTTCCATTTGGCGGGGTGCGGCCGACGGTGCGTGAGAATGCGGTGAATGCCGGCAGTATCGTCCACGCTAGGGATAGGAACAGGTACGGGCGACACAGGCCTATCCGCAGTGCACGCAGTAAGATTACGGCGCCCGATCTGCCCTCACACCCGCTAAGGCGCACAGGGGCTCCTCCCCAGGGCTCCAAGGCTGTGTGAGCAGTATTATTAATTAATCAACGATGCTAGTCGACAGGTACCCGCCGATAATGGGCTTATGCGACGACGTAATAAATGCCAGGACGACAGTGAGAAAAAGTCGGGAGGATGTGTGTGGGTAGTATGGAACCGTCATGTTCCCCAATTTATTCCTGCACGCTGCACTGGGGCCGTCAGCATAATACTCGCTACGAGCACTGCGCACACCTGCATCCTCTCTCTGTTGGCAACGGTAACCTGTAGCTAGCTAGGTACAGATAGATCATGTGCAGGGCCAGTCTCGGACGGGCTCATGATGCTCGTAAACTCGTAGTTCAAGGATCAGGTCATACGATTTCAAAAGCCTGTGCCGTCAACCAGATGAGCGTAATTGGTCGGATGGCGAATACGTGGGCCCATAGTCCGGGGCCAAAGTGGCGCCACTGCTCCCACCAGCGAGCCTTGCCTGGGTCTCTGTACTCGTAGATACGGAGATACATTTTTCTCCCTCTTTTTTTTTTTTTTTTTTTTT